ATAAACTGGAGTGGTTTTAAGTTTCAGAAAATGATGCAATGGAAACAATTAAAGCTGCAGATGCAAAATAGAAAAACACATGTATTGGCATTAAGATATCTGTGTATAGATTATTATAAGTACTATAATGGGGATATCAACTTGTATACTCTTTTTTTGATTGACCCACAAACTGTTTTCTATGCTATTTACACTGACAGCCTATTACACATTATGAAGAAATGTCTTGGGCAACTTTGCCACAAAATGCTAGATTCTCCCCTTGTGGCCTTGCTGGGGTGTCACTCTAGCTGTTTACAATCCAACTCCAAAACAATCTACCCTTTGTCCGCCCATGAATATGTTTTTATTTGCCTCCTGTCTCAATTCCCAATCCTGGTATTGTCATTCCCAGATAAAGGGCGGAAAGATTTTATACACGTGTTCCCTGAGGCCGACGGGGATCTATGGAGAGGGGCACCAGCTAATCAAGGCTTTCTACGATAAGGGTGCCGAACGGGGAGGCATGATCATTGGCGGCATCCCAGAGTCCTCTGAACATGGACGTGTCTATGCAGGTAATGCTACTTTCTTTGTGAGTCATAGTCACAACATCAGGGACATGTCAGAAGTAACCAATATAGCTCTTGAACATGGCTTTTGTCCACACCAAGACTAAAAGCAGAAGAAATGTGAGAGCTTTTTTCCTCTGCATTCACAGGCGTTTCCTTATATCTGATACAGCCAGACCAGACAAACATTAAAAAAAGGCTGAAGCTCTCTTAAACCGCTTCCTCAACAGCTGCTAGTCAGTGAGCTAAAATAAGTTGTGTAACTTAAAGAGATAGTACAACATGATAACATGAGCAGTGAGGATACTTCAATCCAGATGGCTTGGCTGTGATATGTGAATAGTATCATAAATCTATATACAGCCTAATGATCACATTTTTAAATACATCTGCCCCACCAACCACAAACCAGTTTCAACAGGCTGGTTTCGGTGATGATACATTTTTTTTGTATTCACTCGTGGCAAAGGCTGCTGTCAAGGACCAAATTAGTATCATCAGTAGTGCACGTGCACGTGAGCGTGAGCATGAGTAACAGTCAGCATTTATAGTCTTGGTGACCAATATTTTTAGCACCCTAACTAATGCTGATATAACAGAACCTTCATGTAAAAAGGATCTACTGTTGATATATTTTAGCTAGTGTGGAGGCAAGTTCACTATTAGTACAATAGACACTGAAAGCGCATTTGTTTCGATTGTACCTTGGCAATTCAATTCTTATATATATATATATATATAGTGAACTTGCCTCCACACTAGCTAAAATATATCAACAGTAGATCCTTTTTACATGAAGGTTCTGTTATATCAGCATTAGTTAGGGTGCAAAAAATATTGGTATATATATATATATATATATATATATATATATATATACACAATATATATATATATATATATATATATATATATATATATATATATATATATATATATATATATATATATATATATATATATAAAATGAGTCACTAATTCACCAGCACTCTTATAATGGTATGACTCGCTTGAAGTGAATATATCTGCACTTTCCTTGTTGTTCAGAGTTTTAATCTCTATGGTTTTTGCACTAAGTCGCTTTGGATAAAAGCGTCAGTCAAATGAAATGTAAATTTAACACTGTAGAGATTCTGAAATATAATATAGGACTTTGTCGCTGCGATGTGGTCACAGCTGTGAAGCAACTGTGCATGTTTTCTTGAGAGTTGTTACAAGTTAGATGTAAGATAAATATGTATTTATCACCACTGGATTTTGTTTTACTAGTTAAAGAGAAGATTGTTATTTCATATAAAACTTTGGTTTTTCGCATTAGACATTGGTGTTGTCACATACAGCCGTACATTTTGTTTTTAACAATAAATGTTTTCTTAGTAAAACATAAGTTCTATATGTTTCATATTAATAAATAATGGGTTCAAAGGGTTATGGGCTATAAACTTGTTTATAGAAAGAAATGTGAAAGTGTGTAAAACAACAGCGGTGGGCAGGAGGAAAGACCTTCAGACTGGCTGCTTTTTCTTTTGGTACTCTGGGACATTTAACTGTTAACAATTTCTACTCATCAATCAAATGTTATGTCCATTGCCTAATGTCACAATAAATTATCTTTAGGTTACTAAGGTAAATGTTTTGAATACTTCTTCCATCATTCAATCTGGTGTTCACCCACTTGTTTGTGTTCCTAGGCAATGTGGCCTGGATGCATGTACTCGCAGCCCAAGCCCTAGTTGAGCGGCCCATGACGGTCGGTGGTGAAGCTTTCTTCTGCTACGATGACTCACCCTACAAGAACTACGAGGATTTCAACATGCTATTTCTCTCCAAATTTAACTTCCGACTGGTTCGCATGCCCTTACTGGTGCTCTGGTTCCTGGCCCTGCTCAATGACCTGCTCCGACGGATCGTGAGCCCCTTGTACAACTACACACCGCTGCTGAACAGTTACACCTTTGCTGTGGCTTCTACCTCCTTCACTGTCCGCACAGATAAAGCCCAGCGATTCTTCCAGTACAGGCCTCTGTACGACTGGGAACAATGTCTGGCCCACACACAGAAATGGGTTGATACTTTCCCTAACAAGGATAACCACAAGGACGCCTAATGTGAACTCAACTACTTCAACATGAACCAAAAGCTGCTATGTAGACATGCAGGACTCCAGGTATACAGTGTAGAAGAGTAACCTGCCATTAGGTGACAATGCAATCAAGAAAAGCAAACTGTATTTACAGTATAAAAAGTTATATTTAAGTCTATGATTTTTATTGTAGTGATAAGCTTGTTAAGAATGTGCAATAGTATTATATTTAACATTTCTACATCATGTAATTATGTGTATATGACCAATGTAAACACCATTTTTATAAAGACATAGACGATGAAACATAATTTGTATGTTTTTTTTATATAATGTTTTGTTTGTAATTTGAAATAAATATTATTAATATATTCTTCATGGCTCTGCTTGTTGGGATTTTTCACTTGATTCACACAAAAAATAATGCATTTTCCATTATTTTTCTTTCCATAACTGATTGTATTAATGATTGTTATGATGTACAGTGTGCATCAGTTGTACACCTTGAGGATCTAAGTCCTTAATCATTGTTTTTTTTTAAAAATGATTCCTTAACATTCCCACATGGTTAATGAGTTCTCCAACTGTATTTCCATGGAGACAATACACTTTGTTTACAGCACAAAGGACCTAGGCTTTTGTTATATTCTTGTGGAAACTTGTCATCAGACAACCAGCTGTATTTGTATTGGTAAGACAAATTATATGGGAGTTCCCTTTGACATCATTCCAGCATTACAGGCCTGGGTGTCCACCATTCCTGTGGCTTTAACCATGGTAATCCTCATAACAATCACATGCCTGCTAGTCAAGAACATGACCGCAGAGAAATTACTCACTGTCTCCCCAAACAAAACAAAAACAAACGACAGTTGTGGAAATGTTATACTATTTCAAATAGCATTAATTTGTCTTCTAACAAAAGTATCAAGTTGTTAAATTCTGCATTTTATAATATATACTGTATGTTTGGTATGAGCATGCCTGGGCACAAGTATGTTTAATAGATGTGTTTTGGATTTGACTCTGAACCTTCAGAGTTGCTTGTTTTTGACGGGATACTGCCATCTACTGGTTAAACTAAACATACAAAGATCGAAAGTACAGATAATTGTGCGTTTTTATTATAAGGTGTTTCCATTTCCCCTACCATCATTGGACATTCATGTTTTCTTTTAATAATAACAACTTATTGCGAATGTCGTAAACGTATTTTGAGGGTGCTTTACAAATACACACATTTGATTCCTAAATAGTGTAATTAATGTGTGTGATTGTGGTAAAATGAAATGAAATGAAAATGAAAATACCACAAACCATTAGTGTATAGTCAATGGTTTTATAAGTAATAATATAATTACCTTTAGTAAAAATATCAATATCTGAGTGTAAAATACTCACAGTTAAAGTAAAAGACATGCGCAACCTGGTTTTTAGCTTTTTAGCTTTTTTGACAATTATGTTCCAGTGTAAGAATTTAATAAATTAGGTAGCCTACTAACCTACGGTATTATTATTTTATAAATACATAATGAACACTATCCTTCAGTTTGCTATACAGATTCAAACTCACCAAATGTGGGGAAATATTGTTTTCACGTGAAGGCTCCAGGAGAGTAGGCCCACAACAAGTAACACAACTTTGTACTTCAGTACAATGCTGGAGCAAGTGTAGTTACATCCCACCATTAGTAGCTACTAACTGAAGTTGAAGACAGGCCTAAATGTAGTGACTTGAGTATACAAATAGCCTACAATATTTATATGTGAACTGTAGTAGAGTTAAAGGTGGGGTAGGTAATTTTGGAGAAACCAGCTTGAGTGCGCTAGATTTTGAAAATACACAGCCGGAAAAAATCTGCCACTTCCTTACAGAGCCCCTCCTCCAACACACACGAACGCGCACATGACCAATGAGGGCACAAGATAAGTTTGTGCACAGATGGAAGGCTGACAGGCAGGTAGGCCATCCAGTTATTTTATCCGGACCGGCTAAAATGATTGGTCGTGCTTTTTACAGTACTACGGCTTCCACAGATGACATTTTTTTATGGATTTTTTGTCAAAGCACTTAAGATATTCATTGCTATCGGGATGTTAAGAGCATTCCATGGAATATAACAAAAAGTGTATCTCGAGCCGGTTTCTCAAACCTTACCTACCCCACCTTTAAGTATAAAGTATCACAAAATAGAAATACTCGAGTAAAGTATGTGTTGTTAAGTACAGTACTGAATGAGTGCAATCATTTACTTTCTAAACTGTGTAAAATGCATAATGCATTGTTAATGTAATAAAGCGTCTTTCTGCTGTGGAAGGGAGGCTCCGTACGTGCGTGTGCCCGACGACATTGACGAGAACACGCACGTAGCTGTCAGTAGGAAATGCAGGCTGGTGTTGGATGTAGCCCTGCCGCTGTGCTTGGATACATTTAACAAAGAAATTCCCTTTTGTTTCAGAATGAACACTATAACTTAGAATGGTTATTTGAATTAAGAGAGAATGGTCGCAAAAAGAGTGCGTGTCTAACCGAGGTAACCGAAACACTCAGCTAGCTATTTATGCTAACTGAAACACTATCGGCGCTAATGCTAATACTACATATTGCTAAACTAAGCTAGCTGCTAACTTAGCCAGCTAGCTCGCCGATTGCAGGACGTTTGTTCTTCCAGGTCCTCGCCCCGTGCCGCGGCTCCTGCCCCTTTGGTTTTTCGTGTTTTCATTTCACGGGGCAGGTTGCGGGACCGGAGCTGTGGCGGGGGGAACTAACGGATAGGAACCCCCTGGCTGTCCAGGCGGACGGATCACAGTGACACGCCGGTGTTGGGTGAGTTGACTAGCGGAGCTGAAGTTGACCAGGGCAGCGGGGTGGACAAGGCCGAGGACGCTGTTCGGCCAGGGCCTGGCGGGGAAGGAGGGAGGGTGTTGACTATTAGCTATTAGTAAACCATTGCTCCTGTGTGCTGAATCGGAAAGTTGAGTCGCTCCGAGGGAGGCCTCAGGGGAGGATATGACAACAAATTAGCTGCTAGCATGAAACTGATATAGTGTCTGGAACTACAGACAGCAACCTGCCTCATCAGCAGAATACCGGATAACTATGGTTGTCGGAATGCTTTGTTGACAACGTTAGTTAAATGCCAGTGCACTGTTACATCGGTTGATTAAACCTTTATTTCTACAGTAATGGTTTCCTGTCGCTCTTGACTGACTAAATCAAGGTGCTTAACCGGGGTTATATGTTCTCTCTTGAAAAATAAGTTGCTTTTGTATGCTATGCTATCATTTAAATGTCTGATATCCTCTTCTGTGCAGCAAAACATGAAATGTAGCAACTTGAAACATGTATTCATGGAAACCTTTTTTCAGTAACAACAAATAAATACCACAGGTGAAGTTACACGTACAGAAGTTAAGGCTGAAAGGGGATTTAAAGTTATAAAGATTGTTTATGTTATATGCTGTCTCCCAAAAAATCTATTGTTTCAAACTTAAGTTCTGTAGCTGCTTCTCCAATCCAATTCTCTGATTCAAATGTAAGAAGAGGAACTTTCTGCTTATGCATTACAGAAAATGGCATATCTGAATTTCATAAACATTTGGTCATCTTTTGTGATAAACTTTGAGCTTAAATGTTGCCACATTCATGAATTGTTGCTGAGAATATTTGCGTCTCTATACACTGTAAAAAAACAACAACAACATATATACATGATCAGAGCTGCGTTTATTTTATTGAACTAATGGCAAGAGTCATGACGTAACACACAGTTGTTATTTGGCAAAAAATAAAGCTAAGCTCCATCATCTTCTTTTTCGTTTGTAAAGGAGAGATCAGAGCGGAACCATGGCCGAACTCTCCACGCTATCCCCATCACCCCCCGCATTGGGGGATCCTCATGTAGCTCCATCCATCCCTCCATCCTCATCAGCACAACAGGCTATCAACCACCCTGTTCCAGAGTCTGCCATGCAGAAGCCCTCACCCATGTCTTCCCTCTACAATGACAAAGCTTTGACTGGAAACACTCCTGCAGCTCAGTCAGGGGGTTCACCCTTGACCCCCCACCCACCCTTGAGTCCTACAAAACTCACTGCTGACACCCCCCTCTCGTTATTGGTACATGAGGCTTCTCCACAGAGAGAGGAATCACCAGGGAAAGATGCAGAGACTGTAGCTGATGTTATGAAGCAGGAGACAAGTGACCCACCAGCTGCAGAACGCTTGAATACTGAAACAGCGACCCCGGCACCGCCGAGCGAGCCATCATCAGCTCCGCCGAGCGAGCCATCATCAGCTCCGCCGAGCGAGCCATCATCAGCTCCGCCGAGCGAGCCATCATCAGCTCCGCCGAGCGAGCCATCAGCTCCAAGTGAAGGGCCACAGGCATCACCCTCTCCTGATCTTAATCCTGGTCCTAATCTCTACCCCAATGTGCATGTCACCCACAATCCAAATCCTGTCGTGGATGATGGTACATTTACAGCGAGCCAACCCCAGATCGCTGCAGCTTCTAATGCCACGCCTGCTGCTGCAGCATCCATCGACAGCACGGCAGCCGTAGAGGAGAAACCTCAGCCACTTCAACAAGAAGAAATCCCTCAAAGTCTGCCTCCTCCTCCTCCTCCTCTCTCCCCAAAGCCTGCAACTCCCAGTGAAGCAACTAAAGCAGAACTGCCAAGCACCCCCACCAGAGCCGAACCCCCCAGCCCTAGTGTCCCACTGATACTGGAGCCAGATTCTCCCTTCCCGCTGCCCAAGCCCCGGCCGGCCCTTGACAGCATGAGCTACCTGGAGTCAGCCAGCATCATGTCAGGGACGTTGGAGTCTCTATCTGGACTGGGAGAGGACGGCAGCTCTGTGGGCTCAGACTCTGAGGTCAACGGCATGTCTGTCAGACGCACTGATAAATATGGATTCCTAGGCGGAAATCAGTACAGTGAAAGCGGGTAAGCATTAAACTCCTGTTTATATACAAAGTATTGATCACAGATAGGTCTGAGATATTTAGAAATAAAGATGCATGGCTGAGGGGAAAGAGAGACACCTCTCTTCTTTTAACTTTATCAATTATATTCAATAATCAAGTATTTAATACATTATTCCATCAATGAATCAAGTAAACTGATAAGAAATACAAATAAAAATGTGTTTAGAAAGAAATATAACAAAGAGAAAAAAAATATAATATTTACTCAAAATGTCTCGTCTTATGGGCTTCACCTAAGAAAGCAATCATTTTAACTGATTAAACTGTGCTGATGTCTTTGAATTCAGAGTTGATACTTATTAATTAAATCATGAAACAATAGTCAAGACTTTTGCTTAGTTTCTTGAGGAATTGTTTTAGCCATGATGCAGAAAGTTCACTTTTTGCAATGCAAGATATTATTCGATTATGACCAAATAATTGCTTTGCACAGATAAATGTAAATCCTGCCTATCTTCCTTTCAATCTGTCACTTTGCCGAACATCTTATTAACTGTCCTCCATCTGCCCCAAAGAGATTTCCTCTCTTCTCTGCCCCTTTCCTGTCTTCCTCTCCTTCTCTGCTGCTCTAAACATATCTGTCCGTCCTTTATCTCTCATTGGCCTGACTCAGATAATGCTGAGAGCATTTCAGTGACTCAATATGTACTGACTGTGTGTCTCTGTGGTGTCGCCTCACGCCTCTCACGCCCATCTGCTCTCTTCCTCTTTTCTGTCCCATTTGCTTCTACTTTTTCTCTCAAGCTAATTGCTCTTCCGCTGTTGAATAATTGAAAATATATTGATTCACCATCAGTAGTGGCAGTGCATTCTGTACAATGTAAAGGATGTTCTATATCTGAGCTATGTATCTGAATGTTGTACAGATGTATGTAAAAGATTGTGGTATTTTGTATGTGTCATTAGATCAAAGTTAATGTTTCAGAGTGCAATATTTAGGAGTGTGCAAGGAAAATGACTATGTCCTAATTCTGTCAATAATGAGGTCATTTTTGTATTACTCACTATTCTAGTGAAAAGGATGTTCGAGTTGAAGTTGCCAGACAGCGGGAAGTAAAATGGCTGGATATGTTTTACCACTGGGACAAATGGGTCAAACATCGCTTCCAGAAGGTATGCATGTCAGCCTTGTAGCGCTGTAACAAAAATACTTTAAAGCTTTGTTCGTAACGGTGACATTTAAATTATCAATCGATATTGAAATGATGTGCACCCTGTTTTCTTAGTGTGTTTTTTTTCATGTCTGTTCTTTCATTTAAAACCTGGTATTTCCTGAAGTTGCAGGAAAAGATTAGGTTACACTGACACTATAATGTTTAACACTATTTGTAGAATAAGATTTCAGTGAGAAGGCTGTTTCTGACTTGTGTGATCCAGACATTTACAAAGGGTCCAAAAGTCCAATTGAACTGAATGAAAATAGATGGATAGTTATATCTTCCCAAATTCACGTTCTGCTTCAATCATTTTTTTGTTGGCATTGAGCCTTTCAAATTGTGGATTTTCTTTTTTCTTTAGTTCGATAACATCAGTAAGTTGACAGACATTTTAAGTTTCATTTGAAAACATTCGGTACAACCCTCGTCTTTGGATATGTTTTATACATAATTGGTTTGGTTATACATAACGCCAGAGCTGATACAGTGTCTTTGTGTGTGTGTTAAAGGTGAAGCTGCGCTGCAGGAAGGGGATTCCCTCTTCTCTCAGATCCAAAGCCTGGCAGCTTCTGTCCAACAGCCAAGAGCTCCTGGACGCCAACCCTGGGAAATTCGAGGTATCACTGTGACCATGTTGTTATTTTAACTTTTACATTCAACACGGAGGATAAAGGATAAAACAAAATGCATGAACTCTAAGATGCTCTCATATATTCACACAGTCGTCGGTACAGTTCATAGATGACATTCAACTTCCATTTCCTAGCTTGTAGAACTGCCAATGAAAGCATACAGACATTTTTGCAACGTTTCTTGCATGGAAAATAAAAATGTAATCGGTACATTCATATAAAACATTGACTTTATAACATTTAATTTATACCATATTTTTGTTAAACCTTGTTTTTAAGGTTTCTCTATGGTTTACTTTGGATTTGCATGTGTTACAAATTGCAAACTTTATGTCTTAATCACTCACACTGAAAATCGTCCACATAGACCTGCATGCTGTTTGTGTGGCTGTGACTTTACAGTCTGTGCCGCTGTGTTAGCAACGTAAATCCATCATGCATTTGGTAATGTTCCTCCTTTTTAAGCCTCTCATAGATCTGAAAATGCTTTAGTAGCAAGTCAGCCACACATGGAAATATGAACCTATATTTGAATCCCTTGTTTCTCAAATCAACTCTCCTTTATTTTTGTTATTTTATTTTCATCCTGGTTTAGAAGATAAAAAGTCTCAAAGTGGGGAGCTGAGTAGGCCAATGTGAGCTTCAGGGGTGCTAAAGGGGCGCAGGCGCAGACCTGGTGAACTGTAAGCCTCTTATCAGGAGCGGTAATCCTGCCTGCCTTTGGTCCACGTTGGTTGGTGTGTGTGTGGTTGGGGGTGGGGGGGGGTGTCCGAAGCAGTCTGTCTGTTTAGTATTGTTGTTTTGCCTGTAAAATACTCTTAAACGTGGTCTCATACAGGGTGTTGCAGTCTTATCCAATTGGATAGGCAATCTGAAAACAGACTCCATGAGTAAATGAGATTGTTTTGGTAATCTTGTATTGAATGTTTTTTTAAATTGCAGGAGCTGGAGAGAGAGCCAGGAGAAGCTAAATGGCTGGACATCATAGAGAAGGATCTCCACAGACAGTTTCCCTTCCACGAGATGTTTGCTGCTCGTGGTGGACACGGGTAAAAAAAACATACTGTCTGATTTACATCACAGTAAACATAAATGATTGACAAAGTAAAATGTACACACTAATCACAAACTTAAAATTCAAATGTAGCCATTAGCAGGCTTAGGCCCAATCCCAAACCACGCCCTACACACTACCCCTACACACTACCCCCTCCGTGAGTCCGTGAGTCCGTGGAGTGATACTCGCAGCTCAATGAAGCTCCCTCCTGTCAGATGGAGGGAGTAAATACAGCGGACAAACTCCCCTCTCTCCGGCAGAAACAGGAAATGCCGTAACTGTGTGTAACAACGGTTTCAAATCAGCATCTCTTGGACAAAAAATAAAAATTAATAACTAAAATAAAACTGCAAACATCTTTAATTGTGTTACTTTTTTGTAAAGCTCTTTTAGTTTTAAACCTGATTTTTACAAGCTTCTTAGTTTTTGCAACAGTCTGTAAATATACACAACTTTATAATAAAATGCACACATTTACCTTTTTCTAGACTAAACACAGGTATGATCCTAAGTTAAAAATATATGAGGTTATCATGAGGTTGTTAACATCGCAGTTTATCAGTGGATGTTTGCTGGAACTGTTTGTAAACAGCGTGTTTCCTGATGGACACACACAGCGTGACTCCGGTCAGGTAGAGACCAGTCTCAAGTCAGCACCGATGCAGACTCGCTGTTTGAGGGCTTGATAACCCACTCCCCCTCCACACCTCTCCACACTCGTTGGTTTGGAAGAGCACTTAATGTGGCGGACCCTCCGCGCAAACGCACAAACGTAGGGGTAGTGGTAGTGTGTAGGGGTAGGGCGTGGTTTGGGATTGGGCCTGAAGGTACACTGTTTTCAGAGTGCGCATGTCCTACGTAGTTCTCCCTTTTTATAAATCACAATCAACTAAAAATGTGCTGCACGCACCCATTGCGAACTCCATGTAAATATTCTTCATTATAATAATCAGGATTTGATTTGGAAAGGACCATTCAAGACACAGGTTTTTAAAGTGCTTTAGATAAAAGCAAAACACATTTGAAACATTGAGAATGGAGTCAGTCTAATAGTAAGTCTATCCCTCTGTTCTCCTTGTTATTTATGAGAATACGTTTCATAACATGATCTATTATCTTTGTGGTCTCTCAGGAAGGATCAATCAATCAGACAAACACTTGCAAGAATACCTTTTGTATCTGTATTTGCAAATAAACTCTTTGTGTATGATAAGTGACATGTAACGGCACATTATCCCTTCAAGTTTGTTCTTTTATACATTGCAAACTTTGCCAAAAAAAAAATGTGGCCAATGGATAACTCTGTTGTCTGATTGTGCAGGCAACAGGACCTGTTCCGGATCCTGAAGGCGTACACCATCTACCGACCTGAGGAGGGCTACTGCCAGGCTCAGGCTCCAGTGGCTGCAGTGCTGCTCATGCATATGCCTGCTGAGGTAAGGGGCTGCTGAGTCAGGGGGGTGCACAGTGTCTTTAGGTGGGGAAGGAGAAGAGTGACTATGTTTCCATGCACATTCATATTCCACTCAAATGTTGTGCATGTTAATATAGTCAGGTTAAATTCTGTAACGATGACTGAACAGTCAGATTGAGATTACTTAACAAAAAAGGAAGCCATGACACATTTGAACACACTCATAACAACTTGAAACACAATCAAAGCTGCATTTAAAAGGAGCACCAGATACTCAATAGTGAGGACAAAAGCAAGCCTAAATAAATAGATGTAAAATGCTGATGTAGCAAATAGCTGTCCTTGCTGAGAACGATAATTTAATGACAACAGGACAAATGCTTTAGTTGCATAAAGGTTTTCTATGTTTTTTCTTTAGATGACATCATGGTAGGTTTTTGTTAAGATGTAAACTCGTTCTGTTTTCCTCACTGTTGCATAACAAAAAGAGAAGCCTTGTGAGAAAGCGAAACAAAGAACTAGTTAAAAATAGTAGCAGGCAGCAGGCTGTTAACACTGCTGCCACTTCACTAAACTGACTTTAAAAAAATGGACAAGGTGTCCTGCATACATGAAGAGTATGATTCAGACCGGACTCGAGTTACAGTGGCTTTGCTTGGCCGACCTTTTTACAGCAAGGTGACCATACACGTCATTATTCTGACAGTTTGAAATTTGACTTCATTCAGTCCCTTGTATAAATGGGGTATAAGTCGATGGGTTGAGGGGGTTTTGTTCTTATCTAGTGATACTCGACTAACAGTGTGTGTTATTTTCGAACGACACTGTGACCATTGCTATAGTTAATGCCTGGTAGCAGCAAACACAGTGTGACTGTATCTACTCAAAGTGTTATCACACTTTCTATTCAACAGAAGGATGGAAAGGCTCTATATTTGTGCCATTAACCTTGGCCAGAGGCGAATTTTTTTTCAGTTAGGCTCCCCTATATAATATAATATATTATCTTAGGAACAGCGAGAGGGAATTTGTTTCATAATTACACAAACATCCACAAAGATGAACTATAATGTAGTGGTCAAACGTTGAGGTCACTGTGAAAACATGTTTTTTGCGATAACTCAAAATGCTTATTATGACAAAATCTAACACACATTGTCAAATGATGAAAGTGTTTATATTTCTACCCAGAAGGTTACCCCACACTGTTCTAGCTGATGTTGAGCTTCAGGTCATTGCACCATGTGATTCAAGCTCTCTATTGGTCGTCTGTACTCCTCTGTAAAAAAAAAATGTTAATGTAAATATAGTGATAACTTCCATTTCACCAACAAAAAGGTAACGTATACCTATTCATGAATAACTTCAAAGTCTTGTCTCTTTTTACTTTTGTTTCTGTTCACAGCAAGCTTTTTGGTGCCTGGTCCAGATATGTGAGAAGTACCTCCCTGGCTACTACAGCGCTGGACTGGTGAGAGATGATCTGAACTCTCCGTCAGCTCTTTGTGTCAGCTCTCTCATCTTTACTGACTTATCACCTCTGTGTTTTTAGGAAGCGATTCAGCTGGATGGTGAGATCTTCTTCTCCCTGTTGAGACGTACGTGTCCGATGGCGTACCGTCATCTCAAGAAGTTCAAGATCGACCCGATTCTCTACATGACTGAGTGGTTCATGTGCATCTTCTCACGCACGTTACCATGGGCCAGTGTACTGCGTGTGTGGGATATGTTCTTCTGTGAAGGTACTATTCATATCCATACAGACTGTAGGCTAGAACTTATGCTACTTCCTGTCTTAGTTTACGTTGTTACATTTGAGTAATAGAATCAAATGGCTATAAATCGATTACAACACTGCTATCGAGCTGCAAAAGGTTTTTAGAGTGCATGTGGTTTTTATGTGAAATGTAAATTAATAGAAACCCTGCTTGTGTAACTCAGCTTCTTTTACTGCATTTTTGCTCTGTAGTTTGACCAAATCCTGACATACATCTCTGTTTGTAGGGGTGAAGATAGTGTTTCGTGTGGGCTTGGTTCTGCTGAAACAGATGCTGGGCTCTGTGGATAAACTTCGAGAACTACAGGGCATGTATGAAACTATGGAGCGTCTCAGAAACATCGCACCTGACGCCATCAGAGAGGAGATATTGGTACAGGAGGTGGGTCTCTTTCTCTCAGCCTCACAGACTATGAAGAGAAATGTGCGTCTGTTTTTACTCAGAAACACGAGTTCTGAGTCACGAAGTCCTGTAGTACCCAGTCGAGTATTTATATCTACCCCGTCTCGTCCAAGGTTAAAATAGCTTTTCCATTTTATTTTGGTTTAGTTTAATTTGGTTTTCAGCATCTAGTCACTAGTTTTAGTTTAGTTTCCACTTTTTAGGACTGTTACATTTGAGTTGTTATGTATATAGTTTGTTTTTGTTAGAGCCAGGTATGATGTCTCAGTATGTAGCTATATATACATATATATTTCTACAACTGTAGATGTCAGGAGAGTTGACAGAAATGAATGATGTCCCCTAATTTTGGTAGTGATATATAATAACCAAAAAAACTAAAAGTGAAGGAATGTTAGTTATTTTAATAAGAGTATATTTTGTTTTAAACCTGGCAATATTTTCTTCTTTTTTAAATACATTTTATTTAGTTTTAGGTTACTAACAATATTTTCACTGCTTATTTCAGTTTTAGATTCAGATTTATTTTACAACAGTAACCTTGGTCTCTTCTTGTCTGTTCTAACCAGATTATAATCCTCCCGGTGACGGAGTCCCTCATAGAGAGGGAGAGCAACATCCAGGTGAGGAAGTGGAGGGAGTCGAGGGGGGAGCTGACCCACCAGCCGGCCCGCCGCCTCCACGGTACGAGGGCCCTCTACGAGCACAAACGCCGCGCCGCCTCCATTAGCTCGGGCGGCAGCTTCTCTTTCCTGGGGAGCCAGATCCCCCCCCCGGGCCCCCTCAGGGCCTCCTCCAGCCTCCTCTCTCTCCCGGGCTTCCGCAGGTCCAAGGCTCCTTTTCACTCCCAAGCCAAGAAGGGCTCCTTCTCGGGGCCGTCAGGAGTGGACTCTCGACCTGTAGTAACATCGAGCCCTGAACGAGGCCCCAGCCACAAACCGCCTATTCCTCCAGGGGCCGGTCAGAGGGCTCCGGCACCCCAAGTCCGGAGCCCCTTAGTGAGGGGTGCAGAAGGCTCATCACAGGGGCCGGCTCTGGCCCCAGAAGACCCCCCAGCACACGAGCAGCCTGCTGCTTCAGCCCCGACACAAAGCACAGCACCACCCCCCAACACCCTATGCCCCGCCCCTAAGATCGTCTCTGAGCAAATCACTCCTACTCTCCCCTCTCCCACTGCTAACAACTCCACTCTGACGCTCATTCAAGACTCAAACAAGGAAGCGTCGCCAGCGTCTGATGCCACAAATGGAGAGGAAGAGGTCAAGAAGAAGAGCAAAGATGACAAGAAGAAGGAAAAAGAAGACGACAAGAAAAAAATGAAGGAAAGGAAGGAAAAGGAAAAGGCTGACAAAGAGAGGTTGAGGAAGGAGAAAGAGAGGCTAGAAAAAGAGAAGAAGAAAGGGGGGAAGAAAAAAGACAAAGGGGGAGGAGAGGCTGAGGACAGAAACGGAGGCGCAGCAGCAAGAGAGGCCTAGTTTTCCGCCACGTCATTCTTGGATAATGAAAAGAGACGCGAAACAAATAAACAGGTCCGATGAACAAAGACCCCCGGAAACAGAAAGAGTGATTCATAAAAAGAAAAATGGGATGGCTTCCTGTAAAACGCATCATTTCAAAGACTTCATGTAGTCCCAGGACTATGGCGGGAAAAACTGGATCATGGTTTTTAAAGCACCTCAGGGGTTTCTAGCCCCTCGCTCAATGCTTCTCTTGTTTTAGTACAATGGGATACATTTCCTTTTTCAACTGGAGCATGGACTGAAACCCAGATAAGTCTTTTATCTCTTTTAGTTTTGTATTCTTTGTCGTTTATATTCTTTTAATCAGATAGGTGGCAGTGGTTGGATACAAATGGACTCGATGGATTGTTGAAGGATTGCAGAAATGGTTTTGGTGCCATAGAGTATGTAAATAATAAGTCTACCTACAGTACATAGGATCCTGTTAGCAGTCTACATGCCCTTCGTGTCTCACCTGTAGACAGGTTTATCTGGATGTGACAAAAAGAAACCATTGGTCACAAACCGGCACTGAAGGCAGAAATGCTAGTAATGTTGTTGAGGATGTATTTATTGTCATGTTAAATGTTGTGAGTGAGTGTGTGCCTTAGTAGTGTAGTGAGATGTGTTACTGTTCTGTGTGTGGCTTCCCGGTTTTCAATCTCTCTCTAGCTGCTTCTTTTCTCTGAAGACCACTCATTCCTGATTGGTCCTCCCCAAATTCTTCTTACAGTAGAAGGAGGAAATGGAGAGAAAGAAGAGGGAGAAATTAAGAATACAACCAAACACCTTGACGTGGTGTTTTTTTGTGATTTGTGTGTGTTTTGTCTCTGACAAAAGTACACATAGGGAGCATTTCATTTCTTTTATTTCAATAGCATTTTCTTGTGTCCTAGGTAGTTTTCTGCAAAAAGCGGGGCGCAACTTTATTGATAAACTGGTTGCGTGACAACATTCAATACCCAGCAGCGACCATGCACGAGTCCTGCAGAGTACATGTCCATCAAAGTTAGTATTATCTCTGCTTTTGACGAACAAAGTCCTACATATTTCATCTAGCCACATTTCAAGCATGGGTGGGAACTTAAGTTCACTAACCCATTAGAATGTGATTTCAAGTATCTTAAAGAATGAAGGAGGATTTTTGCACTTGTGATTTTGTCACAAAGTACCACTGAAGTCGACCACTCCGTTAGTAGAAGTCTCCGGGGCGGTTTCAGAGTTAGAAACTGCGCCTCGATATAGGAAGCCACTGGACTGGAGGTGCCAGGTGTGCCAATGTAGCATGAACCTCTGACCTTTGACCTTCGGGCTCTTATGTATTTATGTACAAAGTGGTTAATTTAATCAAATAGTATATTATGAATTATTATTATTATTATTTTTGATCTGACTATTTTTCTATGCGAGTAAGAGACACCTGGTTGACTGGAACGATGCCCGACTACACTTCTATTTGCAGGGGATAATTTAAGTGTTTAATTATTTTTATTTCTTTCCCTTTTTTTTGCACGCTAAGTCCTCTGCTTTTATACAACAAACTCGATGCATGTCTTTGCGATTATTTAAGTTTACCGTCACTTGGTTTGGTCAACTGAAGGTTCACGAGTCTCCTGTTTACTGAAGTGCAGTATTAAAAAGACTTGAGTGGAAAATGGGCCTCAGACAGAACAAACGGTGAGAGGAGTTATTCAGGCAGATTCTTTGGGAGCTGAAGGTCTTAATCGTACTGTATAATTTACTAAGAGGTGATTTATGAGCTTTGAATAGTTCTTTAATTGGAGATCTTAAGTGTGTCTTTCTCACCAAATTGTGTTGTAACATTCATGATAACTTATGGGCTAACTCCCTAACCTATTTACACTCAGTGTTCTGTACTGTAACATATTTATGCATACATTAAACTGCACTGACCCCTATCAGTATACGGTGAATAGTGTCAGGTAGTGAGTGTAAAAACCATTTGATGGCAAAAAACATTGATGCTCTTTAACTGTACTGTTTTTGTAGTTGAGGATTAGAGGGACTTTCGTGTAATTGTAGCCAACTTGTCCTGCATATTCATTGTTTTTCACTTATTTCAGGTCTTCACATGGCTGTCATTGAAATATATAATTAGAACACACTCTCCCTCTTATGTTTTGATGCCAGTGCATTATAGATTAGTGTAGTGTTAGTGAGGATAACCTGAACACATCTATGCAAACCACGCTCCATCATGATGCTGATGGTGTGTGTGTGTGACAGCAGCACTGACTTCACCTCTGATCCGGATGATCAGTTTGGTGCCATGGGGAAACATGAATTATGTCTCGGTAGGTATTTCTGAGCACATTTTCATGCTCATGGACTTCAATATTTTCTGAGCAATACGTCATCGCAGCTCATGTTTTGATGAAAACTGTTTCAGAGGGCTCGAGATGCCGTGATGATCCAATGAGTAGTCTCGCTAACTCGTGGAAATCAGCACTTGGCGCCGCAATATGAATGACGAACCAAGAAATACATTTCTATCAGGTCCTTTCTACATTTCTGCATTGATCATGAAATCGTCATTCTTGATTGTAGTTGATTAGGAATGACTACCCAAACTGATGAAAATATTTTAAGAAAGCGTTTCAGCTGTTTTTTTCTCCCCATGCCGTTCTGTCTTTTGTGTTTTTAAGTTTACATGGTCACTCTGTGGCGGAAGTGAAATAAAATCATAGCTAATTGAATTCATTCCTTCAGATCTACAACTGATGTATTTAATTGATGATGATAATGACATTTGTGATGAGTAATAAACCATAATATATTAAATCATCATGGTGTTTTTGGTCTTTCTTGAAGTTTCAAATTCGGAGGATCCGTTTTAGTGATGAATTAGTAATAGTTGTGATACATCAATAAAGCTTAATCATATACTTGGATACATTTATTTGGCTAGATTTGTATATAGCATTTATTTGTAGCCAGTGCCCATCAATGGACACTGCTATAAAAGTGGTTTGCTATTGGTTATTTGCTATCAGTGCATAAAGGAACATGGTGTTGATCTGTTGGGATTAGATTTAACTTTCTACTTCTATTTATAATGTAATGTTTATTTGTAAAGCTGCTCCACAAGAGGTCACTTTTACTCCACATTTACTGAACAGACACACTATTGTACAAAAGAATAGAGATTTTATTCACAGTTTGACCCTTTTATTCATTACAGAGGAAAGGCTAGGAAGAGGTCAGCTTATGGGGGAAAAAAAGGGGATTTAATAGTTGCAGGAAGTAGCGGAGGTAAAGAAATCGAAGACCGTTATGTTTTCTTTCGACCCTTTTCCTCCTCTACTTCAGTCTTATGTTTTTTTATGTTTTTATTTTTTTCACTTTCCAAGGAAAAAGTTGTCGTCACTTTAAGGACACAACTTTTCCCCCTTCCTAACCTGCGTATGTTCTCCCTCTTCTCGCCTTTTCCACCCTAGAGGACATCTTCAAAATTTGGAATGAGGTCCCCATATTTAGTGTGTGCCTTATCCCAGTAGTAAGCCTGTCTTCTTCACAGATACTGCAGGAAGGATAGGGACACATCTTATTACCACAAACACCTCAGAGGCAGAAGTGACTGGGCAGACAGAGATGTGGAGGTGAGAAGACAGAAGATGGTTGCAAGGAAAGATTATTGAGAAAAGCTTGTGAATGGAAATGATGTTAAAGAATAATCTTTTTATTGGAAATCACCCCCTTTCCCCATAAGCAGACACAGACACCCCATGTGCATCAGCACTCTCATGTGTCAGTGTGACAAGTCTTGAGCGGCTGAGCACATGGGTTAACACAAAGGGATGGTGAGGAGGAAGAGGAGGAAAGGGAGGCAGAATAGCATAGGGATTGCTGTATTTTCTTGGGCTTCTAGCGTTCTCTTTACTCCTCCTTCTCCTCTCCGTGTGTGATGACATAGCAGATATTCTTGTAGTCTACGTTGCCAGCAACATCAGGGGGGAAGGCTTCCCACATGTTCTTAATCTGAGGGAGAAAATGAGGGTTGGAAAGTCAGCATGGCAAAATATGTACTATCTTACTGACATTTTGACATGTTTTTGGTCAATTGTTCAACCTATCCTCTGACTTTTAAACATAAAAGAACAAAAGTCACACTCACAAGGAATCATACTTAAAATTGTTAGCTGAGGTGAACCTTTAGCGATTGGACAACTAATAATCTTTTGTACAAAAATTATACTTAATTTGTATCTAATGTATTAGCCAAGGGCCATCTGAGAGAAGTTAGATATCTCCATTGCCAATACACACAACACTTGAGAACTTGCAATAAAACAATCAAAACTGATTACCAGTACTACAGTACAGAGGAAATGAGATGGAAAACCTAACATTATATCTATGTAATAAGATACTGTATCTGTATTGTGATTTTACCTCATCCTTGGTGAACCTGTCGCACTGGGTGGTCAGGAGCTCCTCAAGGCTGTAGTGGGAGAAACAGATTATGGGAGTCAACATTGTAATTGATCCTATTTGGACATGCATGGTGAACATTACAATTATTTACAAAAAAAAATGCTCACAATTCCTTCTTAATGCTTCCGGTACCCTCGGGGTCCAGAACCTTGAAGGCAGTGATAATAACGTCCTCGGGGTCAGCACCTAGTGAGGACAAGAGAGAGAGAGAGGCCAGTTAACCTTTGCAAAGACTGACAGCCATGGACGAAGTATTCAAAACTTGGTTAATGTAGCAATACAAAATATTTGTTATGCCTTTATCAGTAAAACTCCTTCAGAAGTGAAAGTATAGATCTATGAGTAATACAAATACTTATTGTACAGAACAGCCCAAGGTGACATATTTGTATATTATTGGATTACTATCATTAATGAATTGCAAAACAAAACATCCAACAATGTGGGAGAGACAGTTGATTCAAATTAGACACCCACCCTTCAGCTTCTCTCCGAACATGGTGAGGAAGACGGTGAAGTTGATGGGGCCGCTGGCCTCCTTGATCATGGCGTCCAGCTCCTCAGGTTTGGTGTTCATCTGACCTAAAAAGCCCCCAAAATGTCGGATTAGTACCAGAGGCCAAAGTCACTCATGATTTTCCACAGAAGATCTTTCACAGCGGCACTCACCCATTGAGGCCAGAACGTCCCTCAAATCATCTTTGCTGATGATACCGTCTCTGTTCTGGTCAATGATTGTGAACGCCTAAAAAGGAAACAAGAAGACTTCGTTTTTTTTCCTGAAGGAAGCATTTGTGACAGTTGGACTGCGCTGATGGACAGTACAAGACCTTGTTACCCTTTAGGGAGGCCTCTGTCATCACCTTAAATAGGCAGCTGGTGAGTATATTTACTAATGTTGTTAGAGGATATTGTGCAAGAAAAAGGCTGCACCCGAAAAGTCAGATGTAACTGTAGTTGCCTTCCGAGGGGGGTGAGGAGGGGCTGTTAAATTAGGAAAGTGTCATTAGGGAACAGCTGTCGGATCTCCTCACCCTAGGCAACTTACGTCCATGAAATTTAAGATAACCGCCTAAACTTGAACTCACCCCCTGCCTTCCTATTTCTTACTCTATGCGACGTGCTAAGATCTCCCTAATCATCATGTCAAACATTCCCAAAGTGCCACTCAAGGAGCCCATATCCCTTATCACAGGAGGCATGTTTCCTCTACTCACAGCACATATGCTTTGACCATGCATTAAAAGCACTAGCACCATCATTATCCTGTCTCTTGGCAACGCATCCTAAATAAAATCCCATCTCCTTGACCTTACTGAATTTCAACACACACCCTTGACGCCTCACACTATCTCCTTTTTCTTTCTCTGCTCAGCAAATCACATCCAAAAGTAATTATGGAATTGAGCACATGTGCTTTTTCCTTCACATTATCTGTTCTACACTACAATGTGTGTAATGAGATCCAGTTGTTCTGCCTGGCCTCAGCCTTAAGAAGATGTCTGAGTGACAGCTGGGCGGTGGGTCAAAGGTGAACAAAGTGTAGAGAGCTTCAGATGGCGACAGAAATGTCCAAGCTCCTCCTAATGGCATTCTCAAGCTTATTAAATGGTCAGGGGAGATGAGGGGGAGCAGCAAAATAGCAACTGCTGTGGAAATGGATACAAGAGCTGCATAATCCAACTGTATACATCGTAATGTATTTTGGTAACCGACTGAAACAAACGTAACTTTAATTCAGAATCGGAGTCTCTAAACATCTAACTATCAATGAATTAGAAGTAACACAGAAGTCTTGAATGCCTGCCATGAATGATGCGGATACATTCGAATGGAGAGTATTGCTGTGTTGCCGGACAAACTTTACCTCTTTGTACTCCTGAATCTGGCTCTGCTCAAACATGGAGAACACATTGGAAGAACCGCTGTCTCCTGCTGCCTGCCTCCTCTTTGCCTTCTTTGGTGCCTGGAGGATAAACACATGAGAACATCGTCAAGAAAGTCAGTTACATTTTAGGGCAAACTCACAGTAATGCTACCCCTTAGCATTAAGCGATACCTGCAGATATCCACCAAAAAGAGAGTTTGTCTCCAATGAACTTCTTTCATTTTCAGTGTTAAATTTGAATAATTGTTTGATGCCCAAAAGGATTAAACAAGGATAAGAAAAAAAAAGGGAGAAATTAGTTTTGTCTTGCAAATTAATATTTTCCTTCTTCATCACTGACCCCTCAGATCGAGCTTGTTAACCATGGAGAGGTCTTAACCCCCAGTTTGGGAGGTACTGCTTTTGCAGCCGGCACAAGTTAATGTGCAATCCTCAGGTTAGTTAACATCAGATTACCAATATGAGATGCATTTGGTTGCATGCATTATGCAAAACTAGAATTTAACGACACATCAGAACCCAAACATCCTTTCAACTGCATCGCCAACTGCTGGAATTATCCAAAAATCCACAAAAATTGTCCAAAATGATTTCATCTTAAAACATTGCTGGTAATACTCCCATCTTTTTTGTAATGATTATTTTAAACTCCTACAAAAAAAAAAAGCATCAAAATCAGAGTTAATCCACAGGGTTGGCTTTGATATTCCCACCAGAGGAGTGCAGAGATGTGGGGAGACCTGGTACTCACCATCTTTAGACGGTGTGAGTGGAGGTTTGGTTGATGAAGAAGGAGATGGTTGTGTGAAGCCGCATCATACAAACATCACCGGGGGGCTTATATACCCCTCTGCTGGCCAATCTAACTTTAGCCACAGCCTCAAGTTTGGATGGGGATAAAAAAAGAGAGAGAGGGATGGAGGGAGAGCGAGGATGGTCAGGGATGAACTGATGGCAAAAGTGATCGAGACAGAATGGCGGGGCGGTGTATCACCTTACAGGAGATCAGAAATAGACACAGGAGTCTTGGAATTAAGTAAACCTGATATCTGAGGGACCATGCTGTAGGTTTGCAGTCCCACTTGGACTAATAAGGACATTCGGGACATAGATGCTTGTTTGACCACTGGACACTGTCTCCCCACCCGCTCTGTCCACCTCCATCGGCCTGCAGAAAGGCGCAGCAGCCAATCACTGACTTTATTTTTGGTTCGTGATGTCCATGGCTATATTACAGAATGTGATTTAACCGATGCAGCTTCTACTATGTGCAAAGCTCCGTTTGCTCATTTGAATTATGCTAATGTCCAATTTGAGATTTTCCGATCCAAGGTGATGGGAGGGGCCCTGGAGTAACATCAAGTATGTACTATTAAAGGATCTCTCTCTAACTCATCTCTTAGATATCATCTCATCAAAATATCTTTTCACACAACAAACATAATGGAAGAATATATGTATCCTGTTTTATGTGAAACACTGCACAAGGCAATATTACACATTTAACTGGTGTAAGATATAAAATAATAATATATTTTTAGATATGCATGCCCACACTGAATTGAATCCATAGGTTTGTATTACATACTCCCAACATGCAATCATGCTTACCAGGCTTCACTTCCCTAAGGACACATCTTTATATATTTGTTTTTTCCCTCATTGCTTTTTCAAATGTACTAGTTTGACTTGTTTTGATGAATTGGGAGTATTGAGATGGTTTGTTGATCTAATTAATGACAATAAAATATATAACAAAATAGAAAAGTATTCAAATTTTTGTTCTGACTCAAACTACGTCAAATTAATCTGTCAAATCCGTAAAATTCCTATCCACTTCACTTTTTAAGGTTATATTTGAAGTAACAATTGAAAGTTTAAACTAAATGTAATCGACTAACAATACTATTTATCATCATCATTATCTTTGACATCATTGACATTAACATAATACTTTTTTGTGATTAACTTACATGATACACCATAGACTAAGACCAAGACTGTTGACATACAAACACTATCAGGTACAGTAGTACAAATAGCTAATAAATCATTATTAAATATTTGTTTCTGAATAACGGAGTAGTGGAAAAATATAAAGACACAAGAAATGGTGACGTTTACATACATTTACTGTGGGCAGAAGTGGTTCAAAAGTTGAAGCATCTTATTTGACTGATTGATCATTGATTGTTTTTTTTTGTCTTTTTTGTAAATGTAATATTATTGTATATTTAGTTTCATCTATCTAGGTTCAACCACTTCTTGCAATCCCTGTTTTTATGCAAGTCTTAATGTATGATTTTCTTTAAAATATTTTCTTCAATGTTACCTAGATTCACTCTTTATGTGCACCATGGTGTGGTTTTCTGGCAACCACTTTGTATGTCTGGTCTTAAAGAAAGAAATAGAAATGAAAATAGGAATACATTTGATTTTTACCATAGTTTAATAGTTTTTTCCTCGAGGATGAGTTTTTGCTGTCAGCGCTAAATGAACAACAACCTGCCAGCCAATTAAAGGCACCATTTTCCTCTAGCTGCAGTCTGGGTTCTCATCACTATGAAGGTGTGTGTTTGGTGATTGGCCTCAGTTATGATCACTTTCCCAACTGTTTGCCCCCCCCGGCCCCCCCTCTCTCGTGTGTACCCACCATTTCTCCCCCTAAATATACAGGGATTACTTGGCAGGGTGATGGCAGCAGACATTCCCAGAATAGCATAAAAAGGACAGCTGAGGGCGACCAGAATAGCTAAATAAACTTGACAGTCTGCCAATGCGCGGGCCCCAAGAACTAACAGCTTTCCGTTCGTTTTGCCGAAGGTTTAATATCCAAATTTTCCTCACAGATAATCTCTTTTACTTTTCTAATCTTCTCTAATGGAGAAATATTTCCCCCACCCATTCTGAGCTCATTGGTCATTGTTGCCTTTGTTTCCACTGATGCTCTTTCATGAGTCATGACTCCGTTTTTTTACTGGTTTCCACGCCTGCAGTAATAAGGATCAGACAGGGATTTATTTATCCAGACATCCAGAGCCTGTCATAGCTGTCAGACTCCCCCTTGTTTTCCTGTTGACCTTTGACCCCAGGTTCACTAGATTATCACCACCTTGTTGCAGAAATGAAATATGGCACAGCGCATGATCTGACTGGGATTTTAAACAAGAGGTGTAGGTTAATACTTTATTAAATGATTTTAAATGTGTACACATTGACATTTAATACGAAACAAGATGCTCTATATTTTTGTATTTCCATTTTAACTTTTATATTGAAATTAAGGTGGAATGTGTATGGAAGCAGTACATTAAAGGGGTCCCCTAAAACAGCCCCCTAATGCTGTAATTTAAGGGGAAATTAAGGCATTACAATTGCCAATTAACAATTTAATAATAATAATACATTTGATTTATATAGCACACTTTAAAGACAACGTCATCTCAAGGTGCTTAACAAAGCTATAAGGAACAATAAGTAAAAAGGTATCTAAAGGAGCATATTGGATAAAATATGGCAATATAAAAATAAATAAAAATAAAAGGTTAAGAGCATAAAAGGTAAAATAATGTATTTACATATTTATATTAAGATATTTGTGCATTGATCAAGTGATGATTATTACATTTAAAAGCATGTTGAAGAGTCAGTGCTAGGCCTCTCCATGAAGACACATGTACTTTAAAAAGAATGTCTGGAATTCAACTCATACTATTTAATGAAATTAAATATTGTTAGAAATATTGTTGTCAAGAAATGTTATTGATTATGTTTTTCAAATGTCTCATAACACTGAAAAATAAGAAATAAGTAAAAAGAAGAGAAAGGATCATTCTCCTTTTATAAATTAACTGCAAAAGGTTTTGGCCCACTAGTTTCCATATGCTATCATTCACAGATATCATTGAAAATAATCTCATACTTTAAGTATGAGATTATTTTCAATGATATCTGTGGTAACATATGTGATATCTGTGATAACAATGGTCTGACATAACACAGCGTGTGTACAACGCTCCCGTGAGGAAGTGTTTCCATACAGATGTGAGTACATTTGTGGGGTTTGCTGCGGTAATGGGACACTTGTCACCACGCTCCTCTGAAGCCATCTATCATTTTTTAGGCGATTGGTATGTCTGTCTGTCTGTAGGAGGAGGAATGTAGGGAAGCTTAACCTATGGGGAAAGACGACCTCAAGGAACCTCGGTGACATGCCACATGTCAGAGTTGTATGATATATATGCTGGTGTTTGGGAACCTCACTTGCCCTGTCTTGTCATTTGACCCCATTTAGGATTGTGCAACATGCATCACAATACAGTTAATTTAACGTGTTGGGTAAAGTGAGATGACAGCATTCACTTGCTTTGTGTCATTGGATTTAATGGAAATCACAGTCAGTCGCGTTGTAATGATCCAAGTAAATGGGGAGATAACTCGATGAAAAGCACTTACTAAAATATTCAACTCAGTTTAAAAGCCAGCTGCTTCATATTTTTGTTTCCTGCATACTTCTATAAATATCTGTGCTGTTTCTGATTAATATACTGTACAGCCTACTCTGTAAGGCAGGTGTTTCCCTCCAACACATTGTGCCTGCAGCGCCCTCTGCTGTTGACCATCCTCTACTGACTGCCATTTACGATAAACTGTATGTAGCCATATGTGGACACATGTATGGTTGTGTGTGTGTGTGTGTGTGTGTGTGTGTGTGTGTGTGTGTGTGTGTGTGTGTGTGTGTGTGTGTGTGTGTGTGTGTGTGTGTCAACCTTATGATCATGATGTTTTAAGTCAAACCAATTTTATTTGTCATGCAAATAAACATTTATAACACTATTTGCTAAATATAATAACAAACAAAGAGAAAAAGGAATTTTTTATGAAGGACATTTTGACACGTAACCAATGATGTGTGTGCTATGTTTTTGTTTGAAGGTCCCATGACATGGTTTTCTGGTTATTACCAGTCCCCTTGTGTGTTATGTAGCTTTTTCTGCATGTAAACAGTCTGCAAAGTCACAAACCCTCAAAGTACACCCTGTAGCGAGTACAACTCTAACCCAGAAAAGACCTGTCTATGCTGCCCCAGAACGCCTCGTTGGAGATTTTTCTTTTTCCATGTTTTTCTTCCTGGTCACAGTGACGTAACGACGACCAAATAGACCAATTGGTCCAAATGGACCAATCCGTGGAGCTCCTCACACACACACACTCACTCAGCCTTATCTTTTCTCAGCTGCGCTACTCCGCGGAGTTTCGCCGGCACACACACTCACTCAGCCTTATCTTTTCTCAGGCTGTGAGTGTGTGGCGAACTGTGTGGCTAACAGCCTGGCTGTGAGTTTGTGTGTGTGCTCAGGCTGAGTTCCGCGGTGTCTCGCTGTCTCGCAGACCCCACGCAGCAACCAGGAAACGACACCAGTAATACAGCTCACACTGTCCGCTCCTCGAGCCTCAAAGGGCGGAGCAGCGAGCCCCGCAACGTCCCGCCAACACGGCACCCAGACCCCACGCAGCATTCTCATCTGTTTGTCATTACTGGTGTCATTTTCTGGTTGCTAACAAACGCCATTGTAACACATAATCACTGATGTTCCGCTGTAGCGGTGGTGGACTCATCAGAACAGAGTGGGCGATCTGACCAATCAGAGCACAGTGGGCTCATAGGGAGGGGGGGGCAGGAGCTCCAAGAAGCCGTTTAGGACAGAGAGTGAATACACATACTATACAGAGATGCTGTATGAGAAAACCAATGTGAGTTTGGAACATTGAACAATGTAAATCTATTCTAGTAGACCTCAACAATGGAATTATGATCAGTAGAAATGAGGTCATGAGACCTTTAAAAGTAACTTGCTGATTTGAACTAGGCCTATATGAAAGTCTTGTTCTCTGTTTGACTCATAGATCCTACAGGTTGACAGATCAATTTAGTTTTTAAGTGCAATGATACATGTATAATACTCTTTGCTTAATACTAATACTCATCATTTGTACCACATATACAGTATATGAATATGTAGTCAGCAACAGGTGTGTAGGTCCCTTTTATCAGGAAGTCCATGAGAACAAACAAGGAAAGGGCGTTTGCGTGGAAGACATTTTGACATGTCAAAGTATGAAAATCTTAAGTGGTAATAATACTCCATCAAGCTCCTGTTCGCTGACTGTTACACTGTTGCGGATTAATCACTTAAATAAAACAGAGACATTGTGAAATGCATTAATGTCATTCAAGGTGCTGCAGTAAAAGACCCTGCTTCATGTCCAAAAGGTGCAGATGTGCAGACACCAGCAGCTCCTGGTTCTCACCCTCTGGTGCAGATTCCTTAGCTTGTTCTCTGTTGCATCCCATGGTCACCTGAAGGCCGTCTTGGCTCAGGAAAATGAACAACTTCTATAAAAACATATCTAAAATACAAAGCTCATCCTTGGGAACATTTAGCACATGTACAGCTTGTGTCAGGGCCTTCGTCTCTTATGTTCCTAAATACAGACGAACCCACAACCCTTCAGGTTCAGTTCCTCTTGACACACATGAATCACTCCATCTCGCTTCCTCTTACATGGTCTGTAACCCTCAGGTTTTTCTTTCACCCAAGATCGATGAGGTGTCCATCGATGCAGTCATCTTCTGCTCGTCGACTCCGCAGCCATTCCTCTCTTGCTTTCTTCACTTCTTGGCCATAATAATCATGAAGTTTGCTGAAGTCCTCCAGTGGATCAAACCCAACCAAAGGCCATTCCCCGTACAAAGGTGCCGGTCCATTAAGCGGTGTAACGTGAGCATTTCTCCTGGGCCACAGCTTAGGGGACTTTTTAGCCACCACTTTGGGTGGTGTTGACTGTGTTTGTAAAACAGGGCAGGCGCTGTAGCTTCTCCCCTCCCGGACCACTGTTGCTCGGCCCTGCACAGGCAGGAAGTGAGTGGGCTGTGTGAGGGCACTGAGAGAGGAACTGTGACGAGACGCACCGGAGCCTTGCTGCTGTTTAGCTTCTGCAGATGGAAACAGGAAATTAGTTTAGACTCTTCATAAAACAAATGAAGTGATACACATTTATATAAAAGCTTTCGCAGAGGAATAGTTTGACATGTTATGTTCATTTAGTTTTAGATAATGAGATTGATAACACTGTCCCTGTTAACGCAACAGGGGGAAATGGGCAACAAAATGTGTCTTCTAGTCCAACTAAATGTTTGTAATACATCTATTAAATCATCACTAGGCCTTCAAAAAAGTTATTAAATACATTTCTGAAGTCTTTGCTTGTTGCCTAATTATTGCTATAGCTTATACTCCTCAATAGAAGGTAATTATTCTTTTTAACAATTTGTAAAACTTCACAAGATACTGAAAGAGCAAATCATAATGCAGGCAATGAGTAAAGAGTTATTTTGAAAAGAGTTTTTAACCATATAGAAATATCTCTTGGTACCAATAAACAGACCACACACCTTCATACTGCCTCCCCAGGTCTCTCACCAGCAGGGAGAGGTAGCAGTGGCTGGCTGAGAGCAAAGCTTTCACCCAGCTCTCCTGAGTCTGACCGTCCCCGGCTGCAAACCTGTATGTTTTCAGTCCGGGCCCTTCAAACACCAGGGAAAAGGCAAACTGTCCTTCAGACTCAGAGCGCCGGACCGCACAGCCCTCCAGCACAATGACCCCCAGCAGGTGTCTGTCAGCGGGGCGATCCTGGTAGAAGAGCAGGTTGGCCTTCAGGACAAACCACCGCCGCTGGTAGGTGGCATTTCTCTCTTTCTACAAAGAAACATGGCAAAGGAAAACTGGATTATTACATTTACCCTTACAAGGAAATCAGAATTTATGATTTAGTTATATCATGTTGTCTGTGTTTTTTGTTCATCCAAACCTTTTTGAAAAGGTATCCTTCTTTATCTACCGGAGAGGTGCATGAAAGGTAATGGGTCAGAATCTTCTCATGGAGCTTCATCCCACCACCTGAAGAAGAGAAAGTGATTTAACATTCAGGGCATAAGATATAGAAACTCCCTGGCATGTATACATTTAATAATAACTCCAGCTACAATAAATTCTCACTTTTTTATTAAGTTAAATTCAGTACATCTTAAATATCCTCAAACTATACTTATAATTAAGGTTTGAAAGCAGCTTCGTCCATGTAATAGACAATATCATTACTTAAGGATTAAAAAGTATTCTTTGAGGTACATCTGTTTAGTATTTCATAATACATAATACATAATACGTATATGCTTATTTAATCTTAGTTATTTATATTCCTTTTACTTAACAAAACTATGAAAGGTGTAATGCACCCACCATGTTGAAAACAAGTGGAACCTGCAGGCCTGTATGAAGAAGAAGAATTGGCCCCATCTAAATCAGCTATAACAGTTAGATACTTCTTAGGTACGGATGCGTCAGTAAAGGAATGAGCAAAACAATTGAAATCATCCAATAACCTGGTTTAAAATAAGAGCTATAGGGTTTTCACTTTCAACTATATTAATATTCATTATGCTTGAGGTTTAAAAGCCTCTGTCAGAGTGACCCCAAGTTAAAGCAGGACCCTTTACTTTAAATACTAATGTAATAGTAAAATACTACAAACTGCAATAATGTATAAGTTATAATGACAATACCAGTAGCAAAATTAAAGTAATACCAATAAAAACATGTTCCTCCATAGTTCTCATAGTGACTCACACAGCAGTGACAGAATAGAAAACAGTGACTCCGACTTACCTCTGCCAATGTTAAATCCCTCACAGGGTCACTTTACCCTTCCACACAGTCCTTACATTATTAACATTTACAGATTCTCTTCTCAGGGTCCGCAGAGTTTCTAAGCAGAAAGCTAATTGTTCATCAGTTCGTTGCATCCAGAACCAGACAATGTTTGAATATAGTTTCAGGTTACTAGCACTGGTTCTCCCTCGGGTACGAGAGGATGAGTGTTGAAATATAAATAACTCGCCCCACTTCCTGGTAACAAAATCCTGACATATTATATTCTCTCTCCTCTCCGCTTGAGTCTACCCCGAGCTGCCTGGTGGATCAGCCGAACCAAGCAGTCGCTGATAAGAACTGCTGGAAGTGAGATGCTGGATGTTGAAGTGAGATCTGATGTATTTTCATCGGCCCTCTCACTTCTGCATTCTGTGTCACTTTTCTTGATGTCAGTTGAGTGTTATTTTAAACTATAATGGTGTGTAAAGCAAATGTTATTTGGTGAATACTGACGATTCAGTCAAATTATCTCAATGTTATACCCTGATCCTTTGCTCTGCATTTAGCTCTAAAATTCTTATATAATGTAAGGAAATATGGGCATTACATGACCTTTGGATTGTGCCTCTACATTTCTTTGCTTGTTGTTTCTATTTCTGACACACACTTATCCTTTGTATCCTGAAGGACCCCAAGTGATTCAAAGTCTAAATGAGTTCAAGGTGAAGAGATTTACAGGGTTTATTATACTGGGGAGTGCGTCACCGCAGCCTCAATCGAGAACTAAAGGTTAAACTTGAACGCCAATAGTTTCAACTCATATTCATGCAAAAATAAGTGTGAGATATAAGTACAAATGTGTGCTCACCTAAGATAAACTGTACTCTAGACAACTATGGTTAAAATGCACATTTGAATTTTGAATTTTGACTTTTGACTTTTGAGTGTGGGTTACACATAAGTTTTATCATATGTCCCATTCTAAGAGATACACTTAGACCAGCAAATTCTTATTATAAATCCACTATTACCAAAGGTACTCAAATAAGTTATTTGAGTACCTTTATTTTAATTTAATTTTTTTTCAAAATATTTGTAGGCTATTGGTTTTTTGCAGACATGACACTTTCAGCACATTATACATAGTACAGGACAGTTTGTCTGTTAAAGGAAATAAAAATACCCATCCCCTTTGAGTACCTTAATTGACAGTTTCTAGACATTGTATCATGAACTGCCTCCAGTTTATATTTGAGAACTTTTAATCCCATATGAACCTTTCAATAGTTTGAGATTCACTGGCCACTTTTGTCTTTCCAGAATTCCGCCCGATGTTTTTTCACAAATGTTGGTATTTTATTTTTCCCTCTGAAAAATACTACATACTTTGTGGTTAGTAGCCTGTACATTTTTTATATTTAGTTTAGTTTATTTATTTATAGTGTTGTGGACAGTCCCCATTGATGAACTGTCACAAAAACAGTAAATGGAGCAGCTTTAGCCGACATGGCTAATTTCCTCTGAAAAACACTACATACGTTGTGCTTAGTAGCCTGTACATTTTTTATATTCATTATTATTATTTCCGTATGTTGCAAATAAATATCACCGTCATTCCGAATGTGAACCAACCTCCCCAACAGGTGGTGGCGGTAATGCCCCGGTCTGTCATCTACCAACCAGCATTAACATTGAGAAAGAGAGGAAGAAGAAAACCATAGAAGAAGAAAAGAAAACGAACGTCGTTTGAATTCATTTCAGCAGGGTTTGATCAATTTTTCAGCTAAATATCAGTTTATTTGTCATATCAATTTAATATGCAGGTTGAATTGTACTAGTTTACTTCATGTAAACCTGCCTCTAGCCTGAGGGTGGACTGTGACCTATGCTTTTTCTTGTTGTTTACACGCTGCGTGTCTACTTTGTTGGCTAATGTTTTAGCAACGATGCTAACATGAGCTCTGAGGTTACCGCTCGTATTCACAACGTAAACAGGATCTAAGTAACACAGCCACCACTGTTACAGCCACTTCTGAATAATAAGAGCCACTGTCTTGTCTTCTGTAGAACCATGCCGAAGAGGAAAGTAACATTTGAGGACGGGGAAGGGGAGATAGAGCTGGAAGAAGACGTCCCAAGCAAAAAGGTTCAACCGTCCCGTTCACATCATTGTTTACAAACAAAAGATCGGATTACATCCCACTCAAGTAGCGTATATCACAAGTCAACTTTGTATTCCCTTAAAAAGCCTCGTTGTCATCCAAGAAGGGTTTTTAATAGTTTATTTACCTTCAGAAGTAGAATGTTTTCAAACCATAAAGGAATATTCATCTTTTAGTTTTACAGAAGAACCAACACATTTTGAGACACATGGGTTTTCATTAATGTAGTGGAGTATATATTTTAATGTTAATAAGATTCCTTTGGAAATACTCAGGTTAAGTACAATTATCAATTTCAAATGTAAGTCTTTATGAACGGACATGTAGTGTGCCTTAGAGCCAGATCAACAACATTGTTATCAGAACACAAGTTGCTTAAACTAGCAGGAAAATGTTACTGAAATGTTCAATTATGTTTTAATGCACATTTTTAACTCTTTCCCTTGTGCTTGAACCAGACTTGTGAGGCTGTTACTGGACCAGGTGCTAGGTTTAAGGGCAAACACTCCCTTGATAGCGATGAAGAGGATGAAGGGGAAGACACAAAAATCACCAACAAATATGATATGCTGGCCAGTGATGACGTGGAGGGTATGTCTTGTTTAATTGTTGAACTATGATATGACTTATGCTTCAAGTATACATGTATTGAATAAACAAAAAGGCACATACACTTTTGCTTTTATATTTCCATGTTCTTCTAAAAAAAAGTTTGACCACGTCTGCTACATACTAGGGCTGTGTTGAATGTCATTTTGAAATTGTGTTATTTATTCTTTTGAAATGTTTAGATCAAATTATTCCAAAACAATTCTATACAGCCACCACAAAATATCTAATTCTACAAATAGTATAATAATACAATTTAAGTTCAGCTAAATCTCTATATACAACTGGGCAGAATTTAAACAATATTGTATTCCTACAAAAAACAAAGTGCAGCATTCAAATGTTAATTTTGAATTTTGAAAGACATTTTAGGGATTATGCTTCAAATGAGTTGGTTCAGCCTTTCTATATACCAGTGATATGTGTAGTGTGGAAAGTAAATATTTTGTCTAAACATGAAGCGTCATTAAAGATGTCACCTTAAACCACACTCACTATGTCTTCAGGCCAAGAGGGAGCAACAATCGACTATGACGAGGGAGTTTCTATTACACCTTTCAACCTGGATGAGGAGATGCAGGAAGGATACTTTGACTCTGAAGGAAACTACTTCGTCAAAAAGGAAGAAGAGATAAGAGACAACTGGCTTGACAACATTGACTGGGTATGTTTATTTTAGGGATATTTTCTTCATCTCTGAAAACCTTTCAAGCACTGTGTAATAATATAAGTCGCTTCTTCCAGGTGAGAGTAAAAGAACAACCTTTCAAACAAAAGAAGAAAGGTCTTGGAGCGAAACGGAAACGCAGAGTCGGTGATGAGGATGAGGCTGAGGAAGAGAAACAGAGGGAAGAGAAGCAGGCAGGCCAAGCAAACACTGAGGAAGCAGAGGAGATGGAGGAGGAGGAAATGGAGCCTGCAGAGGACCCTCTGGCGTCCTTCACACAGCACCAGCTCACTGAGGCTGTGGTCGAACTGTTGCATCCTGGGGAGACGGTTGCCAAGGCGCTCCGGCGGCTAGGAGGCCTTGGAGGACGGAAGAAGGGGAAGCTGAGGGAAGACAGTAAACCCACAGAGGAGGCAAAAAGAGACACAGAGAAGCTTGACAGACTCACAGCATTAGCTGACAGATTGGTTGGATCTGGGATGTTTGAGATCTATCAGCAAACATATGAAAAACTGGCCTATTTGATGAAAAGCATGAACAGCAAGCGCCCAGCCGTGAAGAAGAGCCCAGGTGGTGATGGAGAGGAAGATGAACTGGACATGTTCGCAGACAAATTTGACGAGAAGAATACAGGCAAATCAGACGAGGAAGAAGACAACACAGGTTTTTCAGTTTTACTGGTATTCATTTCCCTTTTTAAATAGAACTACATTTCTTGTTTTGTTAAATTCTGTTTTGTCTTTTTCAGTGAGTGACGGGGTGATGTGGGAGTACAAATGGGAAAATACGGATGATTCCGAGGTTTTTGGACCCTTCAACAGTCAGCAGATGCAGGTATCCTCTTAAACCCATTTTGTTTTAATGACAAAGCAGTTCTTACGTGTTTCGGTTACTGTTTGGGTCATACCCTGGTTAAGGATTCACGCTTTGGTGTGAGTCCGGTACAGCAAAAAAACAACAACTTCGTATTAAGGCAGAGATTCAACACAATCCTCTTGTTTGGGACGGAAGTAGCAAATTACTGACAACTGTGGTGGAGTTATTTCATTTAAAAAATAAAGAACATTTCTCATATTTCCATTTCACACTTTGCAAACATTGAACATACACTTTTCCCAAAAGGGAACAGGTCACATTACCCAATCGAACTGAAAAGTATTTCCTATGATGTAATACTAAGATGTCATTGAGAATTCCAAAAAAAGAGAGAATAATAGAAAGAGAAAAGGCACAAATGATAATGTGCATTAGGAGGAGTGCTTGAATCAGTTCCACACGCACAAACTATATAACTTGCACCTGTACTGATGCAACCTAATTCAGGCATTTACCTTTATGACTATTTCTTCTCCTCAGAACTAATGTACGTGCAAACTTAATTGTAAATCCCATTATGTCTTGAGATTATTGTGCTCCAGGTTGGTTCTACCTTTAGCCTCAATCTCCCCTGGTTGGTTCTAATCTTCTTGTCTGTTTTCCAGGGTTGGGTGGATGAAGGCTATTTCAGCACAGGCGTTTACTGCAAGAGGATCGACCAGGAGGGAGCGCAGTTCTACAACTCTAAGAGAATCGATTTTGAGCTGTATACATGATTTGTGTATAACTGCTAATTCATTATAATCACAATCACTCTTGACAGTCATCTTTTGGCCTAAGCCCGTCTTCTGTCTATTCAACCAAGGATTTTGCGTTAAATATGTAATTTTAACAGAGGCTTTGTTTTCTGTACATTGTTTTTAAATAAATGACTCATGAACGTGGTGTTGCCATAAACCATTTTATTCTTTTTTTAACTAAGGTCAGTAAGAATTGATTTAATTCTGGTCACTGAGTAAAATATAAATCGCTGTTCCACGTGACTTTCATTTGCACATTGACATTTATGGCTAATTCTTTGTTTTACACTTGTTTACCTACTACTGTTAATGTAAAATGTACTACTGTACTAATTTGTAAATTTAACCGGCATCATTTTAAACATCAATATTGAATTGCGATTAGTCATAAAAAATGACAAAAAAAGATAATGTGAACATATTTAAAAGAGATGAATCAATGGGATGCTAGGCCGCTTCCAGGTTCAAGGCTTGCCTTCATTTTTAACCACGTAATGATTAACACAATTAAACATATTTTAAATAATAACTCTTAAAAATGTGACTAACAATAGTAGTAGAAGGAGGCATCAAACAGGAACATGGCAACATGCCGTGGAAACCTGCAAAAACTGGAGATGAAGCGGTGGATTCCGAGTTATCACATGCATCAATGGGAAATAAATAAAGTAGAGCTGCTCTTGCTGTCTGGGAGTCTACCTCACTAAAACACTGATTTAATGTATACATGTGATATATCCTTACATTTTCACGTGTGATTGATAATTTTTCATTTCAACTGTTTTATTGATTTTTTTCTAATTATATTTAAGTTCATCATCTCCAGTTAATCAATTAAGTGTCTAAAAATATTCTAGGTCACCCGAGGACATAATAGAAGACTCACTTTTTTAATTGAGTCTTTTATCAGCGCTCTTTCACCATGCCATCCACCTACGACGTTTCAAAGTCTTCTGTCATTGGTCAGAATTCAACACGTCTTGTGATTGGATGATCTATCTGTCTGGATGTTAGATTTGTATAAACGGATACGTTTGTAGGGCGCCGTCCGGCATGTCTTGTTTACGGTGAGGTCGGAATACTTCCCTCAGTCCAGCCAGCTGGTCGTTTCTGGTAAGTTTGTTCACTGTGATTTAGCAATAAAACCTGCAAGCAACTGAACTGCTAAACCAATATGTGCCTAGTTACCTCATAGAAAACGTTTGAGCGTTAGCAGAGATGACAGCTACCGGTGGCTACGGCTATTCCCCGGAACAGACACTGTTAACTGTATATTACACACTGTGTGAATATCGGTGTTAGCCAAACCATGCAGTGTTAACCGAGAGTTACAATGAAGCTATGCTTAGATGTAGCGCTTAACGCCAAGGTGGTCGGCGCTAATACACTTTTTAAAAACATATCCGTTGTATACAATACAACACATTTCGCTAACCTTTCCATTTGTTTGCTTAGCCCCAACATAAAAGTTTGAATGTGAAACAGTGCCCCTTCCAGCATTTAGACCTAGCCCAGTGTTAATCGAACCAATCGCACCTTCTATTTGATTGAAAAAATGCAATGAAATAAATACATATTTAAATAGTTAGCAGCTTAGCTTTTAAGGTTGTTAGTCCAACGTTAGATGTAGCCAACCTTTTGCCAAAGAAAGGGCAAGTTAACTAATTTATGTGCCAACGACAATGTCTCACATACGCTCAAATCCAAAACATGTGTTTGTGTAGTCTTTTTTTCTCTAACCTTTTCACATCATACTGTATTTTTCCGAGACAGTATTTATTTATTTTTGGACTAAACGAGACATTTGAAAAAATCATCTTGAGCGAGAGAAAAATGTGAAGGCCATTTTCAAATTGAGTCAGTTTTTTATATTTTATCTTGTGATTATTTTTTGAAAAAGAACCAGGTTTGAAATCAATTATGTAAATGAGAAATCTCAAAAAGGAAATTACTAAAATACGTTGTTGCTCATTTCAGAAGAAACAACCATCCCAGAGGTCAGAAAAGTAAGTGAATGTTAAAGACTTATTTTGAAGTGCTTTAATGCTGATGTGATACCCTGCATGTTTTTTTCTTGTTATTTTCAGAAAAGGACAGACACGGAGAGAAAGAGCGAGCAAGGGGATGTTGACTTATCCCTGTGACTCGCTCCCTCAGATAGTTTGTCCAATGGATGAACATGCTATTCCCTCCAACAGTTTCTGTAGTGCACCCCCCCACAGTGAACCTCCTCCATCTCTCCTCCCCCTTTCCTCCATCACTCCCAGGTATAGTTGTCCTAGCACCTTTTTCTTTTGCTGTGAGTCTATTTTCCTCTCCTTGCTTTGTGACACTTTTTTTCACAGTTTTGGACTTACGGATTAAACGAGTACATCCTCTGGAAACTTTTGCTATTGTGACGACCCCTCCACACCACGTGGGGTGCCGTCTGGTTGTGTGTGGGTGTTTCTCAATCGCGAGTAAAGCTGCTTCAGAGCCACTATTTCAAGCATACTACGTCATCGAGTGCCGCCGAAGTACTGTTCCAATCTCCAGCATACTTGGAATTCTACCGAGCCCGGCGTACTACGTTTGGAGAAATATCGAGGCTGCACATGAGTAGACTCCGCGGTCTTAAAATCCCCACAATGTTTTGCGCACGGACCAATTTCCCCAAATCTGTGGCGGAAGATGTAAGGCGGGGCCTCTCATATGACGAACATTATATCATACCCCTCGTCTCGCCTCCCCGCTTTATGTTGCAGCCCAGGAGCCGGGTTGTAACATATGGGGGGAGGCGAGACGAGGGGTATGATATAATGTTTGTTTATTCATAACAAACAAACAAACAAATAAAAGGAACCAGCAACAGGTCCCTGACGCTGGCACGGGGAAAGTGCCCAGAGAAGAACGAGAGTGACGTATCCGGCTGGGCTCATCTTGAAGGCTTCCGGCCAGGTGTAGCTCATCAAGGCTTATGCAGCTCGTCACACAGGTGCAGCTCGTCAGGCAATGGAACCTGCAAACACAAACACACACACAACCAGACGGCACCCCACGTGGTGTGGAGGGGTCGTCACACTTATTTGTTACATTTTCATTTCCATCAGTTGTTATACTAGGAACATATAGTTTTCATCTGTTGGACTGCCATGCATCATTCAAACTTTGATGTTTTTCATTATTTGGTGACAGAGTTCTGACACCTGTTGGCAATTTAATGGATTTGCTATTCCCTCATTTTCACTAATGGTGTATCTCTTTCTTCTTAACAAAGAGCAGTGTGCAGAACGTTCAGCTAGCAACTACTCTTTTTGATGGGACTCTTTTGACGGTTAAATAGATGAAGCGACGGCAGGTCATATTGGCTGTCACTGCTTTAGTTAACGCTGTCTGTAACTTGATGGCAGACTAAAATAAAACGTGGCTGTTGTCTGTGTCTGTGCTCAGCCAAAATCATGAGGTACTTGAAGCATCACTCTGCAATGCAAGCAGAGTTTTTTTTGTAGTCCGCAAGAACTCCAACAGTCATACATCCTCTCTCTAGCTTATCGCTTCATGTTGATTCCTGAAATGTTTCTAATAAACCTATCAAGTCAGTAATTTAACTCAACAACTTCATATTTATTATTAAGTACCTTCAAAAATTGTAGCGTGTGAAGAATAAGGTAAATCATAACTAATTATGAAAGATCCATAAGGTTGATTAACTGAATATCAGTAGATTCCTAATACTAAAGGACTCGGATTGGGACATCCCTATCATAAAACCTGACCCCCTCCTCATCTTTAAGACCTAAAGTACTGTTTTTCTCACTGTACTTAAAACAAAAAAGACTTCATATTGACTTGATTTTCTGAAAATGTTTTTAAACATTCACAGCTGTGTGGATAATGGAATATCTGGACACGGGAGGAGTGGCCGAATTCAAGAGATCAAAGCACAAACCCCTGAAAAGCAGAGCCACACAGACAGCGGAGCAGCTCAGGAATCATCCAGACTGGATCCGTCGCCCACAAAGAAACCAAGGGAGAGTGCAAACATGGTAGGAGTTTAAAAATAAATAATCTTGGTTCAGATCATTCATGTTACGACAATCAAATGAGTAACTGTTTATGCATATCTCTGGTTTGTAGGTGTCGCAGTCCGAGCAGTCAAGTATTGAAGGCACACATGCACTGAAGAAACAAAACGAGGTCAGTGGCATTTCTCCTTGCTCTAGAGGTTTCCACACTCGACCCTCTCTGTGTCTCTGTTGGTCTTCATGCCCTACTTGGTGGTGTTTTTTTATGTAATGCAGCTTTCTGTGTCTAATCTGTGCAGCAGCTTGCTGTACGGCTGTGTATGTCAACATTGGAGACCTGTACAGTGAGCAGGGTGTGAGGGTTAATTGAGGGATTGTAATCCTCCTTCATGGTCTACTGCATCTGACAAGAAATCCACTGTCTTAATGTGACCCACTAATGCGTAAGGGGGATAGACTAACAATGCGTTGTATTTGTCTTCTTGTTTTGCAAAAAGGTAGAAGTGAATGAATACCAGTTTCATATATATCAAGTTAATTAATATGTAAAAAATAACTTAATGTCCTCCATTCTTTTAACAAAATTTGATCAAAATAAGCTTTTTTGCTAATCTTAAATTAGAGCACTGAAATTCAAATGTATATAAATATATACTTTTTGTTTTATAATGAAAGAGTAGCCGATAATACATTTTCTAAACGACAGCCTTTGTGTTTTATTGTTTAGTTGATTTTATGAGAAAGGACTCTAAACTTTGTTGTGCTTTTTTCTTTTTTTTCCAAGGATGGATTTGATGTCAGTTTAACAGCCGAGCCCCAAAATCAGTAAGTTTGAAATGTTTACTTTGAAGTTTTGACTTATCTAGAAAAACTGCTTGCCAACATGTTCCTTTTATGCATGTGCTCATTTAAATTGTATTAGTTAAAAATATATATTTTCAACACTTGTGAACAATAAGAAACAGTATTTAAATAACATTAATCATGGTCAGAATATATAATGCAGGCATACTTTGAGTAGTTTTCCATATGACCTATAACATCAGGCCAGATAAAAACAGGCATAGATTTTTGAATGTTTCAATAAATAAAGAACTCTGACCTTGTATTGACACTAAACATATATCAAAGTTTTCATGAAACAACTATATGTGGGTGTTGTTATTTGACATAACAGTAATGTTTCTTATCAGTGGAATGTGTTTTGAGAGCCTAATTTTCCTTTCCGTTTTTGTAGACCTGGCAAAAGCCCACGAAAGGAACCAAACGTCTCTGCTGCGGACATTGAAGTGGAGCAGTTTGTTGAGGACACCACACAGAATCCTGACGCCACTAAATCTGACATGGGCGCATGCATGAAGGGATTGGCTGTTGCTCCGAAGGGATGGGTGATTGGCCCCTTATTTCAGTCGCTCAAATCAAAGATGGCCAGTTTCACAGAGATAGTGATGAGTCCTGTTAAACTCTTCAAAGCTATTATTCCTCCACCATGCACGGACCATCCAGACAAACTCGATGAGTGTGAGCTACAGGCCGATCCATCATCTGATGTTGAACACTCGGAGCAGAGCGGTACGCTTCATCCAGACGCACAAAGCGAGAATAGGAATCCGGATGCTGAAGATGATCAGCAGAGGCTCAGTAAAGTAGAAGGTTCACAAAACACAGAAACTGCTGCTCTTAAATATTCAAAGAAATTACTGTTTGATGTGGAGTTGCCAACACACGGCTCTGAACAGGCAGATGAAAGTGCAATAACCCAAAAGGAAATAAGCTCTCCTGATGCTGTGCCTTTGCAACACTGTCCCTTACCCTGCATTGTTTCTGAGGAAGATGTCAACGGAAGTGCCTCACATGATTCCAATGTCAAGTTTTCTGGTGTTATGGAGGACCAGAGAGGCAATGTGACTGTCCAGCGTAAACTACTGCCTAGGAAATGTACAGTTAATATCATTTGTAAAGAAAGAGTAAAGAAAGTTGCCTCTAAATCTTCAAAATCCAAAGTCAAGAAGGAAGAGTCGGAGGTTAGTGATGAGCAGGTTTCTTTCATGAATTCTGTCAAATCAAACAAAACGGATTCCGTCTGTTCTACTCAGCCTGACACCGACTGTCCTCAGCTTGGTCATGTGGATGAAGGCAGAAGAATAGAAGTTATGGTTCGCCAAACACATCATAATAACTTAAATGACGCAAATGGATTGACACTAAGGCCTTGTGTGAATATTCAGCAGCTGGAGTGTGGACTAAGACCTGAAACTTACTCCGTTTCAACTCTTATCCGAGCAAAGAGGGGTGTGGAACTGGACTGTGATTCTCAAGAAGCCGTGAAGAAGAAGAGATTGACTGCAGATAAATCTAAAAAGGAAACAAAAAGACAAGAGCTTTTAAATGTTGCCTCAGAAGGTGGCCTTTTGAAACCATATATAAATGAAGTTGTGATGGCAAATCCCATTGTAGATAAGGAAGAGCCACTGAAGCCTGCTAGGAAAAGACAAGCTGCTTCAAAAAGAGAAAATAAGAAAGGAAAAGTAGGACAAGAATTACAGCCTGAGTTTAACACACAGACTGATGCGATGTTGGTTTGCTCTCTGGATGAAATCACAGGTGTGTCAGAAAACAACCAAAAGGGCAGCAGTCGCACGGTGAAGCCAACGGGTGGCTCCTGCAAAAAACTAAAGACAAGGTCAAACAGTAAGGAACTAGAAACCACCCCTGCAAAAGAAATTGAGCAGGAACCGTTATCAGTGGTCTTTGTCCGTCCTTCTATAAAGCCCCTCCAAAGCACAAGCAAGCGCAGGAATATAAACGACAAACCACTAAAACGGAAATCGCCAACCCAATCGGGTTCAACTACAGAAGCAGACAGCACTTTGGTTACTACCTCATCAACACTATCAATGAAGCCTTTACAACTCACACTCGCAGATCGGAATAACGGTCAGGATGATCAGAAAGAGGAGAGCTTGGAAAAGGAACTGAAGCAGCCGCCCAAACGATCCAAAAAGGCTTTAAAAGTGGCTGATAAGTCATCTATGTCAGCTGGGAATCAAGAGACAAAGCAGTGTGTCAATAACCTTCATTTGGTAGCCAAAGAAAACCAGCCTAAACAAGGCAAATGTAAAATCTCAATGGACCCTGTATATTTTGAAATGACTCCTTTTGAAAGTATTCAACAACCTGTTTCTTCATCCTCTCAACCTAATGGAGACGGTAATGTACAATTGGATATTGAAGTTAACCATGTTGTTGAAGGGAAAGACAGGAGTGCTGCTTCTGTGTCAGAAGAGGTAGAGGCCAGTAACCAAAGCAGAGTGACTGTGTCTGGGCTAAGGTCTAGTACAAAAGGGGTTCACATGAAGCCAAGGAGAGCAGAAAACCAAAAGAGAAAATGCAGAGTTTTGCAAAGTAGGACTCTTAAAGGTGAGGAGGGGACAAACTGCATCTCTATGGACGATGCAGACCTGGCTACAGCGAGTTCCCGCTCCTCAGGGAACGGCACCTCAACGCGCCTGTTTCGCAGCTACTCTTGTCCAGAGATCCTGTCCCTTCAACCTGACGACACGCTCTGGACTTCTACTCTGCACTCCCCGCAGCTCAGCAGGATCCGCTCCCCACACCAGCCCCTAGCCCCCCACACTCCTTCTGTCCATCATTCCCAGAAAGACCGGCGGCGGGCTCGTCGACACACGGTCTGCAGCGTAGAGGTGGAGAGGGAGATCGCCCCCCTCTGCCTGCGTAAGGAGGTGTACCCGTCCAGAAGATCTCTCTCTTCTCTCCTGTCTCCCAGTTTTGCACTTTCTCCCAGCTCCTCCCTCTCAGCTCTTGCTTCCTGTTTCCTCTCAAGCCCCTTGGCTTTCCTTTCCACGAAAGTTGACAGTAGAGGAGCTGCAGTCAGCCCCAGCACGTCCGTTTCCTCCCACACCTCCTCTTTTCCTTTATACCCATTCATATCCATCCAAAGAATCGACGACTTTAGAGCTCCGTTGGACTTTAGCAGCAGGTAAAACGTTTTTTCACTTGATGATGCCAATGATACTCAAATGTGTTGATATAAATTGCTGCACAATGAGTACTTTTACTTTTGATACTTCAAGTACACCTTGCTGATTAACAAAATATAAATACTTTTACCGAAGTAAGGTTTTGAATCCAGAGCTCTGACTTTGAGTGGAGCATTTTCACTGTGGTATTAGTACTTGTATCAATGGTTCTGAAGAGTGTTTTCACAGTTGGCTGGTATTTACTATCATCTTTTTCGCAGTGGGAAATGTGACATTGAGAGAAGACGCCAGAGTAAAGAGGAGGATGACGGCGAGGGCACGAGCTCATCCAGTCAGGAGTTTGAAGATATAGGGTTGAGAGAAGAAAAGGCCTTTTCAGATTCTGAAATCAAGGTATACATTATTTAACATGCGTGTAGTGACATCTTTAGCTAAAAGTATAGAAACGGATTTAGATTCAGTTAACTAATCCCCTTGTTCATGTTCGCAGGTGGTGCAAAAACGTGAGGAGCGAGGGAAGGTGTCGTCTATTAGAATTCGGAAAACTTTACCCAAACCTCAGAACAACCTGACCCCAATGGGCCTGCCCAAAGCCATCAGGTAAATACTCAAACACATGGAGGTTCACTCTAGACCTTGGGAACAGTATGTGGTACAAATGACCCTAAACCCCACACAATGTTTACATACTCACTGATTTTGGTATTTAAAAGGCATCTCACTGCCTTCATCAGCAAATGGAGCTGACTCATTGGGGTTTTGTACAACCAGCTTTAAAAAGTCAAGCAAAAGTCACTGCCTTTACATTGGGTGAGCGTTTGAAAGTAGGTCAAATACTATGAGGCCACTCTGCCATGCCATTGAAAGTTAATTTGTCAATACATGCGTGTTGTTTATTGAACACTTTGATCAACATTCAGACTGATTGCTATGTTTGTTTTTCTTCTTTGTCACATCACAGGCCGAAAAAGAAGGAGTTTAGTTTGGAAGAAATTTACACCAATAAGAATTTCAGCAAACCTCCTGACGGGTAAGATCAACAATACAGCACCGACTGTCATCGCACGTTAAATGATTCATATAAACACAAATACACACACACACAAAATATGTAATTCTAAAAGGTAAATGAGTCATGAATTGGACAACAGCATAACAGCTTTACATTTAACATTTTGAACAGTGAAACAAAATTGTATTTCTGGCTCTACGTTTAGTTTATGGACTGTTGAGTGCAGAATCAAAATCTACCAAAGCCATTTAATTCTGATTTTAAAAAAGAAAGAAAAGAGAACTTTTTTTTTTTTAGTCTTCAAGATGCAAATGTATGAAGGGCTTAGTTGAAGCATTGCTGTGAACACTTGTATATATATATTATTAGAAAATGTCTTCATATTTAAACTTCTAGCGCCACTCAAACCATATTTAAAGGGATTGTTTCGTATCAAATATAAGAAGATCTTTGGTTATTATGATTGTTTATGATTGCCCCTGCACATCAGGCAGGCCTCCACACTGTCTGCTTTTAAAGCGCTTCTTAAAACCCACCTCTTCTCCTTAGCGTATTCGCATCTTTTAGATTGTTGCTTTTATTGCTTTTAAATTGTCTATTGTAGGGCTGTGCGATTATGGCAAAAATCATAATCACGATTATTTGGGTCAATAATTGATATCACGATTATTAAATACGATTATTCATTGACTTTGAAAAAATCCATTTATTGAACTTTAAACTTTAAAACAAATACAAATAATAATTTGAACAGTATATTTTTAACTGTTGATTACCCTGAACGTATAATTCAACTGAAAAACCAATACAAAAATAAATAAAATAAATGATACATTTAAATAAATAATATCAAAATAATAAATACCAATAAACAAGATCAACAAATATTTTGGAGCACACTTCCACAAGCTACTAAACATATATAAATATGATAAATACAAATAAATACAAATAAATGAGACTAAAATTAATTAGATCAAATATGTTGCAGTGCACTGTCACAACCTAGCAAAGCAAAATAATTGTTTTTTTCGATTATGTTTTCGTAATTGTGGCAGGCCAAAATCGTAATGGCGATTAAAATACGATTAATTGCACAGCCCTAGTCTATTGTTACTTGTACTTGTTTTATGGTGTGTGTGAGCTGTGCTGTGTGATTTTTGTTTGTTTATTTGACTGTACAGCACTTTGGTCTGGAGGTTTTAAAGTGCTTGATAAATCTAAACAATACAGCTTTATTTATAAACAGATTATGTTCAAACTTAAGAATTTAAAATCAAGTATAGTTCAAATCAGGAATAATCTTTACCTTTTTAAAGATAACTCCAAACCTTCAAAAGCAGCTGTCAGCAGGACCTTGTCCACATTGAATTATAGGAATGGTTTAAGTGTACTTTATTTTGTCACCTTTCCCTGTGAACACACCCAAAACCTGTGCAGAGTGGATTTGTACTCAGCTAGTAAGGCAAGGTTTGACCACAGGGTGGCACCAGAGGAATCATTCTTCACTCAAATCAGTTCCCAGTTATGTGAAACACAATAACTACTCCTTAACAACTTGTTACATTCCCTTAACTTCCTCAACTCACTTATTAATAAGACTTTCTAACTCTGGTTTCAGCCGACTGGAGACCATTCTCGAAGTGCCTCTCAATCGCAAAAATGGCTCAGAGTCCTGGTTCGGCCAGAGGCGATTCAAACGTTTTATGGAATTCTTGGATGCCGGCGAGGTCCGAAGACCGAAGAAGCCCCTTGTTCGTGTCGGAACGTCAGGATATTCATCTTCCAGGAAGAGGCGAGGGGCCTTTGCTAGAGACAAGCCGCCCCTCAGCGTGCAGGACTCAGACTCCCTCCTTTGTGCCAAGCTCCATCAGCTGAACCTGTGGTTGATCCATGATCAGAACGACAGATGACAGCTGCCTCTGAAAAGGCAAAATCACTGCGAGATCATTCTGTTAATACGAATATTCCGAATGCATTTCCAGCATGAAGATTCACATGTGAATTGTTCAGCTCTTTTGTTGCCAGCACATATGATTGTTGTTGTGAAGTAATTCTTTTAAGAATAATGTTCTGTAATGTATATGTAGCCCTGCGAGGAGAACAATACATCATAGCACCAGAAATGTGTTGCCTCATAGAAGTTGGTTATAAACATGGTAATCGCATTATACATGGCATTTTTGTCATTAATGCACTTAAACCTTGGCCGTCCATTTTCCCCCCCGACAGCTTTCCATCTGACGAGTGAAACTGTCCATAAACAAATGTTGCCAGCCTTAAATTAAACACTTATACAATATAATACACTTTTCAGTATAACCTACTTTTTCTTTCAGACCCAAAGTTGCAAATCTGTACAACCTCCCTGGGTAAGTCATGACGCCGTTTTGTTACACTACCCGTTTTCTTTTCTAAAAATGCAAATGAAGTATGATTTTATTTTTGCATTGTTGTGTTTGAGAGAAAAGCATTGCAACATATTGGTACTCCTTACCTGACTTTCAGCATTATTGCAAGTGTATCCATAAAGGCAGCTATTCTTTATTGATGCTGAATGTAACTTTAAAACATGCCAGCAAGAGATTTGTATTGGCTGTAGCCAATCTCACAACCAGTATGTAGTCATGTCTGTTTGCAGGCGACATGTGTTAATCATTCTACTTTGTAATGTTCTTAGCAATATTTATCAATTGTATTTGTACGTTCATGGCAGAACAGGGTTTTTCTTGTATAAAATAATGACTAATAGTGTAATCAACAGTGGAGGTGTTGAAATTCCACTGCTGGCTTTATTACGTCCTGTTCTCTCTGGATTGATTTTATGGTGTTGAAATGTGTATTGGAAAAGTAACTTCTTTATCTTTGTGTGTATTTTCTTGTGGCTGCCTTAACTGTAAGACGTTCTCTTTTTATATAAGTGTTTTGTAGGTGTATTTGTTATCATCATTTAAATGAGGAACTTTCAAGCAACTCTTAGCACAAAAGTTTTTATTATGAAATATTTCTTTTTATATACATGTATAAAAGTACAACATATTGATACATTTGACATTAATAAAAGTATTACGGTAACAATAAGATAATGCTGGCAACAAGCGCAGGGTCTTGTTCTGATGTAGCGCTGCCATGCCATTTTATTTCCTGCAAGGACCCCATCCTTGATGAACGAGTCCCTGTTCTCCACCTTTTTAGATTCACAGATTTAAGTAATGTATTCACTTCTGGAGTATCTGCAAGTATATACGGTATCTAAGAATGATTTTATTGTAATGGCATTTAAGGTGCAAATATATAAGGATTGGGTCATTACTGGGGAATGACATTTTCTAATCTTTAATATATAATGTAAATGTGTCATGTAGTGCCATGTCTCAAAGTGAATTTTATATGGTCATTTAGATTTAGAATTTTCCAAATGTTCTCATTGTTAAATAAATATTAAAGTATGGGTAAACAAAAACAAGTAAAAGCTGTTTTTAAGTGTTGTGTAAAAAATATTATAAAAGGTTGAGAAGTAAAAAAACTGGGACACTTCGTCAGCACAAGAAAAACTAAAGCTGCCTTTTTGTGTAACCAGTTTCCTCATATCTTCATGGATTATGTTTGTACTGTCCACTGTCTGTCAACATCAACATTCAAAGTCACTCTTATCGTTGTCTTCTGTAGAAGTTTATCAGAGTTTGTCATTCTTTCAGCGTGACGATGTATGAGACGAAGGCCATCAGTATGGGAATTGAAACCAGAATAGCAAACCATACCACGATGGAGATGATGCCACATTTCCTTGCCCGTTTTAAGAAATGATTTCTCTCTTGACCTGTAGTATACTCAGCCTGTTGAAGTAAGGACAATTACATTGAATGTAGTGTTATATCAGAAAACAGTCAAAGAAAACTAGGGGTGCACTTTGAGAGCCAAGGCTAAATATCTTATCTACCAATGTTAATGTATCTGCTCTGTGATTCGAATCCTAATCCAAAATGTAAATGGCTCTGCCACCAAGTTACTTGAAAATCTAGCCAGTAGTTTTTCTGTTATCTGCTAGCCAAACTGAGATGTAAAATATGGACTCAGATGTAATATGCATTTATCTAGTTTTTAAGTTAGTGTAGTTTTTGGATTTAAAAAGACAATATTCAACCTCACAGCTGTTTGTGTTACAAAGTAATTTAAAACAATTTGAAGTTTCTTTCTGACCTCCTGATCTTAACTTAAACCCAGTGGGTAGAAAAATCTTCAAGAGGTCACCTTTCCTCTGTCACAAAGGTGGCTTTCACATTTTAATTAGGTTAGTTAGTTTGTGATAACATTTATATTTAAAATGCGTTCCTGCTGATTTAGAGCATTCAGCAGCAATGTGAAATGACGTTCAATGACGTTGAAATACCTTGACTGAATATTTCAGAGCCTTGCATCCGATGCAGGAGAGTCCACAGATGATGCTGCAGATGGCGAGTATCCTGTGGTTCCTGTCCTCGCAGCAGGAGGCGGCGGCACACCGCTCAGAGATGCTGATCACTGTAGTGCCGTTAGGTGGTGTGTCACCAGTCCCTGGGATGGTGTTCAGCAGGACCTCTTCCATTTTAATTTCCCTCGTCTCCTGAGATTTGGGCATTTCTGCAAACTACAGAGCATATAAGAAAGGGTCAATTAATAATTACTAAAGAAAAAAGAAAAAAAACATTTTGAGGAAGCAATATGCAAATGACGTCTGAAAAGCAAAGAACCGTTTTAGGATTTGTCTAAGTGGTGGATTTATGCTTTTAAGTTTGATAAGAGTTGCAAAAAAACATTGTTTGTTTTACAGGAAAGGACATGCGAGGAACTGTTGTCCCTGTTGTCTAAGGGCAAGCCTAGGTAAATGCTTATATTTTAACTTTTTCTTTTAAGAATGTTGGTCAGATACAATGGGACATAATTCCACTGAGTGCACATATTGTATTCAATCTTGTATGTTTAATTTATGATCCTGTTTCCAATCTGAACCTAATCACCTTTCTACTGACTTCAAAGGCACAATGCTGGCTACTCCCTTCATTATTAAACTTGAAAAACAGTGCAGAACACGGCCTGCATTCAGCCCTATTTTTTAAGTCCTGCACATAAGTAAAAAACCCTCAAAGAGAATGATAGATTTGATCAAATGTACGTATATTTTAAATGTCCCTTAATAATTAGACTCACTGACTCTGGAGATAAAAATAACAAAGGGATTCTAGGTAAGTTATTGTTCAATTTTGAACAGGATCAACTTCACAAACATATACTTTATTTTTGTTGAATTGAACTCATTTGGTAGTGTATACATATCGAAATATGTTTTCCTTTTGTCTTATGTTGCACTTGATTTAAAGACACAGAGAAACAACAGGAAGTAAATGCTTTTCCTATTGATTTTTTCCTTCGTCTTTATACTAATTTGTTGGGTTTGTTATTACCTGATGGTATAGCTTTAATGTTTTCTTATGTGTTTTTGTATGCAGTTTGAAGTTTACTTTTTAGATCAACCTCCTCTTAAACCTGGTATGTTTTTTGGACAAAAAATGATAACAAAGCCACAATCAGTTCAGGTATTATTCAACCTGGCCCAAGGGAACATCAGTTGTTTCAAAGGGTTTGAACATGATCTCCTTGAGAGAAATATTGCTACTTTCCTTAACTGATGGCCAAGCTGGTGCATGCTGCTGGGTTGATTATTGCTAAAAGAATGTTTTCCTAAGTTGCCCTTGTGTCCTGTGTTCACCTCGTTTGATGCGTGAGCAGTTTGGGCTACACTACTCTGAATCACAATACCAGAAGTTTAAAGAATTTCAAATAACTGGTCCCTACAAGTCTAAACATGTCCTTAAAACATATTCACAATGTTTGTTTTTTGTTGAGCATGGGTATTTCCCTGAGCAGGTTATTTCCAACATGAAACCAAAAGTATCCTTTAAATGGTTCAACATGGGGCACAGTGTTCCCTTTTAACAACAAAAAAACTTGAAAAACTTGTATGATCACACTTTAGGAAAATAAATAAACCTCCTGCTTGGCAAGTTTTCATGGGAGCATAAAATGTAGGTTATCTAATCTAACATTTTATCAAAGCGTGGTGCACAGAGTACCAGCACACTCTGCGTGTTTGTCATGTACGAAGAATGCAGTAGTAGAGCGTTAGACTGGGTTAATAATAGTTCTCATGTAATGATGCACACGCCTGTGAATCATTTGTAATGAGAAACGTAATATTTCCTGTCAGTGCTGATTACGAAACGTTAGTGAGAAAGATAAAGATTTCTATTATGTAAAACCAAATCTTGCAGGTGTTTCTTGAGTATAGTGAAAAGAAAATTAAAACGACACACAGGAATACATTGTTGAACACAATCAAACCTAATTCACTCGGGTCTTTCTTGTAAAACAGATCAAAATTTCAATAACCCAATGAATAAATTGTTACGTTAGAGTACATACCTGATTAAATCTCAAATGCAATGCTCCTCAGTCTGTCCTGTGTGTATCCAGATTGATTTGAAAATCTTAATGAAGTGGCAGGCAGGTGTTTTGTCTTCTTTTGCCTTTAACAGTATTCCAGTTTAAGGTGACAGCTGCCAAATGAAGTGTCTTTCTTCCTTTATATATGAACGGTTGGGTTAAGATTTCCACGTGTGGTCATCCAAACACAATAACTGTCAATGTAGTGGGAATTCAAAAAACAAACAGCTTCAAGGCCCGTCCCTGTGAAAGCCCTGTGCCATATAAGTTGTTGAGAGAGAGCTGGGAGCGAAACTCTTGTGTGAAACTTCCACGCCCATTTACTGTGGAGGCGCTTCCCTTCTTCTCTTTCTTGCCACACATAGGCTACTTGTCAACCCTTAGATCATCCAGTTACATTAGTGCTCATATCCTGTTATCTGTCATCGAAGTTTAGGCTTCCTCTCTCTTTCGTTAGTCGCAGTTTTACTACACTGCACATTCCCCCCACTTCTTTCCCATGCAGCATACCAGAGGTCTTGGGAAAGGTGTGTCAGCACTTGCCTTGCCTGAGGGTGGAACAGCCACAGATTCCAACCTGCCTCATTGTTTTTCTAAGATTATCTTGGAAGAGTATTGGACATTGTGACTTTGAACAACACCTTATCTCAACTTGAAACATATACTCTTTGCTTTGGTCCCGAGGGTCGAACAGGTTTCTTCTTGCCCATAATATATTTTTTTGCATGCCTCCATCTGCTTTATGACTAAGAGATAAGAAATATTTACTTCCACTTTGCTCAGCGATAGACGAATTCCTGACTGCATTTTTCCACAGCTGATACTACCCTCTGTACACCCTATCAGACCGCCGAATCTTTCCTCATCGAGAAAATAAAATAGTATGGGAGGAATATGATGTGTCACCTCATCCAATTGTTGCAGCTCAGACGTGTTGATTGCATCATATAAGTATTAATCATCATGTCCGATGAATTCCTCCCTGTTACCAGACAGCACAACAATGGGAAGTGACGCCAATGGAGCCACATGTTAAAATGATAGTTATAAATGCTTTTCAAACTCTGGATACATAAGAAACGCCAGTGAAGTTGAAACTAGTTATAATCAATGTTTGGATGTCTCTAAATATAGCAACAACAAACCAAGCTTTTTCTCACATCAGAATTAGTGGTATGAAAAAAGAAACATAAATCAAAGGATAACTTAACGGGCCTACTGGGCAACGGGCCTACTGGGCACCGGCCCAGGGGCCCAATAGGTCAGGGGTCCTTACTTACAAAACCAGGCTGAAAAGATAAATACTAAATGATCACAAACATTCACAAAACAACTAGAAACAAGGGGATGTAAAATGACCACAAAGACAAGCAAAATGATTTAAAACAGATTCAAAAGATCACAGAGATTAAAAATGACCAAAATAGATGCAAACAAGATTTCCAATTATGAGGTTTAAAATTAACTGTGTTTTACTTTCTGTTGGGGAAATATTTTCCTAGGCCCATAACTTTGATCCAGTTTATCAGTTTAAACTGTCCTGACTGAGCACACGCACCTGTAGCCTTGGAGGCTGTGCTCTCAGTGTTTTGTCTCCCTGTTCCTGCTTGTTGGCGTCAGCTGATAGAGGTGTTATGGTTCTTTCTTGTTGTGCACAATGTTGGTTATGCTCTCAGATCTAGCTAAATACATGGGTCTGGGGTAGAGTTCTTCAGAATTGATTGTGGCATCTCAACCATGTGGTCAAACCGTGGCCCGTGACATGTCTTGTGAATTCTCCGGCCGAAGCTCCAAATAAACCGTCAGTGTTTGCCATCTAAGCTCCAGCTCTCCTTCTGTCTCTCTGAGTCCTGACTCCAATTGCTTCAGAAGTTTCCCCCACACTTTCAATATTATTTTATTGTAAAAATAGTCAACCTGTATCTGATCAAAAATAATTTACTTTATCGGCATTCATACAAATAATTCAAGATGGACTAGTTTTTTATTGCTAAATAAAGTATTGAATAAATCAAGTGTTCTTTTTTAAATTGTATTTATTTTTATTTTTAAATGCCACAATGACTTCCATTTAGCATTTTCAAATCAGGAGTTTTCAACCCTTATTAATTATTGGACCGTTTCCATAAACTCCGCCTTAGACTCCCAATTGACCAATCAGCAATCTCCAACCTGTGAACGCGGAAATAAACACGGAAGCGCTTCATAGATAAACACGACACGTATATTGTGTCGAGTTTCATGCTCAGCTGTACTAATATAAATGGGCTAAAAGTAAATACATTCCAGCAGATTTCATACTGTAGTATAATTCTGCTTTTTAGTTTAGTCAGCCCGCGTGTCTCTTGGTCCTCACAGGCTAAATGGAGACAGACAGATGTGTGGTTCTGGCCACAGAGAGATATGGCAGCTCCGAGTCCTGGAAGTATTGTGCAGGCGATGCAGTGTTAGAGAGGAGAAGAGACGAGAGGGAAGGGGAATCAAGAGGAAACGTCATTGTTCGAAGTTTCAAAGTAAGGATGTATACTTATTTAAATAAAATATGAGATGTAAAATCTGGACTGGAAAATATATTCAAAATCCAAGATCCAACCCTCCCCCCCTGAGACACACATTTGAACTTCTTATTTCAGAGTGTCTTTCTGCCTCAAGGCTATCCAGAAAGCGTCAGTGAGGATTACGTGCACTACCAGTTCTGGGATACTGTGCAGGTACAGTAAATGGTTCACCAAAACTATTAAGATCATCACCTTCTTCATCAGATTAAAACTCCCGTCCCTTCACTCTCCCTCCCTCTCCCTCTCTCTCTCTCACTCTCACTCTCACTCTCACAGGCTTTCTGCAGCTCTCTGTCAGGGACTCTGGCCACTCAAGCTTCTCTCAAAGGTGTGGGTGTTGGAAACCAAGAGGCAACAGTGGCAGCAGCCACAGTGACCTGGCTACTAAGAGGTGACACCTTGAAATATACTATTATTGTACATTTCTCTTGCATTGAGAGTGCAACTTTTGAACGAATGTTTCTCCTGCAGATGGAACTGGCATGTTGGGAAGAATCCTCTTCGCTTGGCAGAAAGGGTAGGCTCATATTTTATATTATATTTGTGCTCCTTTTTCACTGATGTCAATTTCGCTTTATGATCAGTTTTTTTGTCTTTATTCCAGGAGTAAATTAGACTCCGAGGCCAAAAAATGGAGGTATGCATGGTGAAGAGGCACTAAATTAAGACAATTAACAGTCTACGGTCTGCTCATTAACATGAACTTTTTCTTTTAAATTCTTACCAGACTTTTTGCTGATGTTCTCAATGACATTGCCATGTTCATGGAAATATCGGCTCCATACTTTCCTGCTTGCTTTACCCTGATTGTGTGTACTGCAGGGGTATTCAAGGTAAAAGGACACCTTTTAAATAACTTTAGCCAGATGTGATTACAGTTTAAAACTTGGAGTCACCGTTTCTTTCTCTAAGATAAATACTTTTCTAAATAAGTGAACCTTGAGCTTTGTTTCGAAGATGAATGTTTGATTTCACAATATCAAGAACGATCATCCAAATACCGACTATTAATACACTTCTAAATTCACAAATACCAGTCATAAAGAAACAGAGTCCTGGCAAATAAGCTTTAACTAGTGGTTCCCAAACTGATACAAGACTCCTGCGCAAGATAAAACTTCCTTAGAGTAGATTGTTATTTGTTTCAAGCTGACTTTTTTATCTTCTCCAGTCTCTTGTTGGAGTGGCAGGCGGTGCGACCAGAGCTGCTCTGACGGTTCACCAGGCTCGCAGAGACAACATGGCTGACATCTCCGCCAAAGATGGCAGTCAGGTATTCAATTTATACAACTTATTTTGTCAGACTGTTTATTGTAGATAAGGGGGAACAGCTTGATTACTTGTGAAGAATAACATTGTGGTTTAGTGACAATGATCCATCATGTACAATACCAGGCCCTTGATTATGAACCTCAATAGATTTATGCCAGAATTGATTTTGTTATTTACAGATTTGCATGTTCTACTCCTGTAACATATCTAAACAGTTTAATTTCATAACAACTACTTTCTCACATTTCTGATGTGGTTGCAAAGAAGGAATTTAATTCTTGTCATCGTGTCTTTAATTCCTCACAGGAGACTTTAGTGAATCTGGCTGGACTACTGATCAGTTTAATCCTCATTCCCCTTGTCACTGATAATCCAATGTAAGTGTTGTTCTAGAAAACCTTAATTCATTACCATACGATTATTATACAGTGAATCATATTTTACCTCTTTCTCCCCCTCAGACTGACTCTCAGCCTCTTCTTCTTCTTCACCATTCTCCATCTCTTCGCCAACTACAAGGCTGTGCGCGCGGTTGTCATGGATACCTTTAACGAGGCGAGGCTTTCAATCGTGCTGCAGCAGTACCTTCGAAACAAACAGATCCTGTGTCCACTGGAGGCCAATCAGAGAGAACCAGTTCTTCTGGGTAATAATGAGTTTGCTGACATTTTATTGACTATTTTATGTATTATGTATGTAACATACAATTTAGATATTATTAATACTAATCATTTTATTGTCTTTTTTCCTTTTGAAATAACTTATAAACCTATATATGTTGTAATGGCAATTTTAACTGTTCCAATGTTCTATATCCTTTGCCATTAATTCACAGGAGGGTTTAGAGCAGGGGTCTCCAACCTTTCTTCATCTGAGAGCTACTTTGAAAAAATGAAAGTCGCCAAGAGCTACTTGCATCACATCGCTTACATTTATTCACATAGCCCTCATGATTTGAATTAAGCTACTTTTGTACACGTGTGAAATTGCAATACCTAAAGCTTATCAAAGATCTTAACTTCACATCAAGGTCCAAGAAAACGACAATTTCTCACATATTATTATGGCCCACATAGTAAGTACATCACCTTAATCACCACCTTACAAGCATCTTACTGTACATGTGTAAAAATAAGTGCATTCACTCTTTTTCACAGTGAGATGACTGGCACTGCATGGAGTCCACCATACAGGTGTATGCTGGAGTGTACCCACTTAGGTTCACTCTAATAGAGTCATTTCAATGTTCATCACTCAGTCCTGTTCTGTATTTAGATTTCATGACATTCATGTCAGAAAAAGCTGCTTCACAAAGGTATGTAGAACAGAACCAAATAAAGCAGTGACAGGGCCTGATTCAGAGCGGGTCATTCTGCTGTTGGTTCTGGACTGGTGTTGGTTTAGAAAGCAGACTGCTCCGTATGTGGTGTCCCTGTGCCGCTGTCACGTCTGTTCCTTGATCTCTGCGTCACCGACCAATTTGATATTCGTGTGACAGAAAAAATTCAAAAATAAAATTGTCCAAAATCAAGAAGCAACCTTACTACGCTATAATCGATAATCGAGCGGCGAGCTACTGAAAAGCTGCTCGCGAGCTACCGGTAGCTCGCGATCTACGTGTTGGAGACCCCTGGTTTAGAGTCGACATTTGATGCCGTTCATCAGCTCAATCTGCTCAAGTTCAGGTTCAAACCTATCAACGATGTCACAGGCATCCTTTCTGGTGAATGCCGTCTTTTCTGGATCCAAATGTTCCTGAAACCACAACAGCTTCTCACCGATGCAGCTCCGACGTGTTGCTTTGTCTTTATTCTGTCTCTCTTCCTTTTTCAGTCTGATCTCTTCTCGTGCCACGTAAGTGGCTTTCCGGCTGTACGGGTGACAAACCTTCTCCGGAGCCTTCAGCATTTTGTCTGTTTGAAAACACGTGTGGGTGCTGCTGTTAGAATCTCTGCTGTCGTTGCTTCCGTTGCGTCTTCATAGCATACAGTCCTTCTCCTTGGCTATTGACCAGCTCCCAAGGTTCCAATACCTTAGGAGAATTTGTCCCGATGAGTAGGTCAATGCCAGAGTCAATTTCATGAATTTTGATGTCCTTTAAAGTGGACCTATCATGCTATATTTGAATAATATATTGTAGGGCCATACCTATATAAAACATGTCTGTGAAGTTTTTTTTTTCAAAATACCAAACAGATCATGCATTTTAGCCATGCCTCATTTCGCTCTATTTGCTGTATTCCAGCCCTATTTTTGCAAGGGCTGATTCTGTGGCAAATGAGCTGCAGCTGACCACGCCCCCCTGCAAAGGAGGGGGGCGAGGCACGAGCGTCATGTTACCATGCTGTTACCATGCTGTTACCATGCCACGGCAACCTCTCATTCCACTGATAGGTGGAGAGTTGCCCATATAGGCGGAGCTCCCTGTTTCTGACATCAGAACAATTTCAAATCTGTATCAGTCTGTATCAGCTCCGTTGCAGCCCCGTTTTTAGAGATTTGGGTATAGAGGAAAAGAGAGAGGGTTGTGTTTTCTGACACTTGGTGAGTTCCCTGACACACCGGGGACACATATTCATGTATAAAAGACGTACAAAAGTGCATTTTGCATGATAGGTCCCCTTTAAGTAAGGCCATTTTTCAAGATCTTCTTGTACAGGAATATTGTGTTTGTTAACAGGCATGGTCTTGTGTGTGAAAACATCAGATAGTTTAAGGAAATTGTCTTTGTCCAGACTCGATATTTCCAAACCAGAGATATGATGACTAGACACAATTTTTTCTTGATTCATTGTCCTTAAGAGAATGTTAGTCCTTTGTCCTGTAAGGTTTAGCCTCCTTATTAAACTTTCTGTGCAAAAGGTAGATGAACTTCCAGGGTCCAAAAAGGCATACGTTTGCAATACTTTGTCACCTTTGTGGCTCTTTACTTGTACTGGTATGATGGAGAAGATGGAGTTTTCATCACCGGCCCCAATGTGCCCACATGTATGAGGTGAGATGACACTACTATTTTCAATTGGTTTCCCATTCTGTACTGTGTGTTCTGCTTCCTTTCTTTTGCCTTTTTGTTCAATGTGGAGTATTTCCGGATGATTTTGGTTGCACACATAACATGTCAAACGACTGTGGCAGTGTTTGCTCATGTGTCCTATTTTTAAGCATCCAAAAAGACCCCTTTTTCTTTCAAGAAGTCCATTTTTTCTCTGTGTGTTTTCTTCAGGATGTGTGGACACTGCTCCAATGAGTGACCACTTCTTCTGCAGAACAAACATGAATTTAGGGATTTGGTGGTTGATGGAGGTATTTTCATTCCATTTATTGTTGCATTGTTGCAAAACTACTTCCTCTTAGGCTTGAATTTCCCGTTAAAAAGGTAGAGATAACAGTTTTGATAGCTGCAGTTGGTTTATCATCTTGGATGTTTCCAAACAGAGGATCTGACAGTATCTTCACTTGTCTCTCTATGAAGTCGACAAGGTCAGGAAATGTAGCTCGATGCCCACGCTCTTCCTGTAGCTGACATGCTCTATTCCTCCATTTGTCTCTGAATTTGTAGGGTAGTTTCTGAAGTATGTTTTTCATGTTTGAAACAACATTAATTTCATCCATATAGGTGAGATGTTCCATTGCATTGCAACAACCTCTTAGGAACAGAGAGAAGGTTTGCAGTGCTTTCACATCTTCGGTTTTGATTATTGTCCAGGTAAATGCTTTGTTCATGTATGCAGTGGCAATCTTGTGTTCATTACCAAAGTGTTCTTTAAACAGATGTTTTGCCCTTTGATAACCTTGAGCTGGAGGCAGATGTTGGCAGCTGCGCACTAGGTCCTTTGGTTGTCCTCTAGTGTATTGCTCTAAGTAATGCAGGCAGTCACTTTCATCATCAGTTTTCTGTTCTACTCCTCTTTCAAATGCACGGATGAAGGCTTCAAACTGCAATGGGTCACCATCATAAACAGGAATGTCTCTTGGTGGTAAAGTAGAAGTGAGATGTTGTTGAGCCAGCATAGCAGTGATGTCATTTTGCCTCTGGATTACGTTATAGATGTCACCTTGATTACCATTGTTGATTACAGGTGGTGTGATGTTAACATGTCCCTGTTGTGTCTGTATATTTTGTCCGGGAATAGAGGTTTGGGCTTGATGAGGTGAGAATTCAGTTGCATGTAGATTAAATCTTGCTGTAGGGTTTCTAAAGTAAGAGCTCATCCCATCTGATGCTCTAGAGGTGTGTCTTGATCCCATGCTGAGCACATTTATCCTGGCATTTGCTGCTGCCAGTTCAGTTTGTAAATCCAATTGTTCCTTCTTTCGTTTCAACTGTTCTTGTTGTTTCAATTGTTCCCCTTGAACCCGGTGCCCGGTCCATGTTCCCGTCTTCACGATGGCTGTAGAAGTGGACGGAAAGAACTTCGAGGCTTCTGGGCCATCTAAACGCACTGTGGAGTTCATTTTGGTTGTTTATTCATTTATTTTCTATTTATTTATTTCAATCATGAAGCATTAATATACTTGTTTAGTTGTGCAGATTGTCATGCAAAATAGGTCTCAGTTGGGAGGGAACCTTGGTTCCAATATTTTGTTTCCCTTGGGACTCATTTGATGAGGGACCGTCAGCCATCTTAAAAAGGGCCAGTGAAATGTTTGTCACTCATGTTTTGATCAGCCACAGGGCACACGGGCAGCCGGTGAGTGTTTGGATTACATATGTGTTTATGGTGACAGACTTTTGTGGTGTATGCTTTATGTAATTTGTGGATTATGTGTTTTCTCTTAGGTTGATAATCTAATTTATTATGGAGGAAGTTAACTTTGAATCTAATTTAGAATGGATTTGTGAGAAGAAAAGCTAACTTACGATACCATGTGCTAACTTTGAATGGAGAAGAGCACATGAAATAAACATAAATCCTAAACTAAAGCTGAGTGGTCACGCCCCGTGTTGTCCAACCCTTTCGGTGGGAGTAAAACCGAACAGTTATCAACCGACGTTGCACCTGGAAGAAAAGAAGCCAGGTGGCGTGGGATAACAAGACAAATAACAAAACAACCAGCAAGGACCTGAGGAGGAATCCCAAGACGACGGTCAGCTGGGGAAAAGATTGTGGAAGCTCCATGTGCCTGATGCATGCTAGCTAGCAGAAGAGTGCTAACAAGTGCTAGCTAGGCTACCTGAAGCTAGGCTAGCTGGGCAGTCTAAGCTAAGCTACCATAAGCTACCAAGCTTGAAGTTAGCATTACATGTTACTTGTTAGACGCTTTTATCCAAAGCGACTTACATACTCAATCCACACAGGAGCAATTTGGGGTGAAGTGTCTTGCCCAGGGACATAACGACATGCTGACTACAGTGGGGTTTGAACCTGTGACCATCTGATCCCCATACCAAGGCTCTATCCACTGTGCCACACGCAAGCTAGGCTAAGCTAGGCTACCAGAAGCTACCAAGCTATCCTCTTGAAGCAAGGCTAAGCTAGGCTACCAGAAGCTACCAATCTATCCCCCTGAAGCTAGGAAGCTAGGCTAGCTAGGCTATCTGACTGAAGCCTAACCTGAAAAAGCTTACACACTGAGGAAGTGGTTGGCTAGCCCTGGCTTAAGCTAAAGCTTGAAGGAAGAAGAACCATCACAGCTTCAGGAAGCTCAAAGAAGAAGCTAGTAGCAGTGGACGTTGGACAACAGAATGGCTGGCGATAAAGAGAAGCCAGAGTCCAGTGCCAAATTGGAAGAAGAGGAGGAGATGCTTGGAGAGCTCAAAAGAGAGCGATCTGGAGCTCAATCAGCATCCATCAGAAAGGCGAATATCCTCACCCGAACCGCCAACTCTTCCACAGAAGAAAAGCTGAAGGCTGAATGGGACAAGTTTGGCAGCGAATACTGCAACCTCATTTCAGCCAACACCGACTACATCGAAGCACTGTCTGAGGCAGACACGGAAGCCAGCAGGCAGCAACTGAACAACGTCGGGAAGATGGCCGAGGACTGCGACCAAAGGTTTGCCGAGGTCGAACAGGAAGTCAAGTCATCTCTCTGGTCCAGATTCGCTTTGCTTGAACTAGCTCTTCTCGCTAGGCGAGCTGAGAGAGCCATGGACCAAGCAGAGAGGATCGAGGTGAAGCGTGAAACCTTCGGGCTCTGTGAAAGGCAAAACAACTACCTGGGGGAGTCTATCGACAAGACCAACGAGAAACTGGCCTCATGGAAGAACTGGATCCCTGCAGCCCATGCAAGTGAGCTAGGAGAGCGTGTGGTGAGCCTGACAGACCGGAGAGAGTCGCTATGGCTCCAGTGGGAGCAAGAGTTCAGTGACTCAAAGAGTAGAGTGGAGGACCGACATACTGTTAATGTGGCTGAATGGGAGACTGCTACTAGGAACGAAGACTCAGTCAACGCGCCACCCAACCCCAGTGGTGAACCACCAGCCAGCACAGAACGCAGCGCAGGCAGCGCACAACCCGGCTCGGCTAGCGTGCCGCCGGGAACAGCAGGCAGATCCGTTGGAGCAGTTGGCGTCCTGCAAGGAGCCATGCCTAAAGTCCACCTTGCTCGTATGCGCCTGCCCACATTCACTGGGTGCATGAGGAGCTTCTACCGCTGGCGACAGAGTTCCCGTTAGCCGGTAATTACCGGACTGTGACCGGTAAAATATGCTGAAGACCGGCAAATCTAAATCTCTCCGGTCAAAATGTCCAGTCAAAATAATTTCCCCTTAGCGCAATACCGCATCAGTTGCGCCACTTATGTGACAGACAAGAATAGTGTGTGACAGACAAAAGAGTATGTGACAGACAAGAATAGTCAATTCTAATGTCTAACACGTGGAGAAAGAGATGTCCGGTATGGGTTGATTGATTGTGCGTTGATCTGTTGGTAATGCCTCGGGGTTCCGGTGGGCATGTAAACAAATGCATAATGCTGCGCTATACTTTGTGGCCTCACCCGGTTGCATAGCGACGCTTATTGTTTAGGTGTCTTTTAATAAGCAGGTAGTCATATCATTAGCTAGAACTAGCTAGATCTGATCGATATGGACATAAACGCGATTAAAGTCTAATCTGACGGGAGAGACGAGATCAGCTGCTGCTAACGAGTCGACACGCAGCTCTGCACAATCACATGCAGCGGTGAGCGGAACAAAACACACACTTCAGGTTAGAATATCACACGTAGCTATTTTAATTACCTCTCAAACTAGGCTACCTAAACTAGTTATAGATAGGCCTATGTTTAGTTTTACTGTCGGGTCACTCATTACTGGATCCGCGAGCTGCATGATACTGGCGGGCTGTCAGGAGAGGGAGAGAGCGCTCCGTTTATTATTCCTGTGTTATTATAAATTACTGTACACTTTTGAATAGTTAATCTACTATAATTAGTTTGTTTAATATCGAATCATATCAATTTGTTTTAAAGCCCAATAAATAACCAAGAAGACCTTTGACCGGCACTTTTCAAATTTTGTCCGGAAGATTTAAACTTTAACGGACATGTTGACCGGCAAAAAAATATTCTAACGGGAACTCTGGCTGGCGATGTGACTGGGAAAGCCTCCAGAGGCAGGGAGAGCCTTCTGGGTCACCAGCTGTTAGAACGGGCCGTTCGGGTGTTCAGAGCAGAGCTCCCTGTCGGAGCGGCAGAGCATGATGTGAACTGAATATTTTTTCTGTCGCAATATTATTTAAAGGAGACATGTCATGCTTTTCCGGTTATTACCCGTCCCCTTGTGTGTTATGAAGGTTTTTCTGCATGTAAACGGTCTGCAGAGTCAAAACCCTCAAAGTACACCCTGTAGCGAGTAAAACTCTAACACAGAAAATACCTCCCCAAAACGCCTCCTTGGAGATACGTCATTGTCCATTTGATTCTTCCGGGTACGGGATTACATCATCCCGTACCCGGAAGAATCAAATGGACCAATCCGTGGAGCCGTTACGTTACGTTACGTCCACGGAGCAGTTACGTTAAGCCCCCGCTGATTGGTCCAAATTGACCAATCCACGGACTTCCTCACACACAGTGCAGGCAGCTCTGCTGATTTCTCCTCCCTGGCTGCAGGCTGATAACAGACAGTTGGGAAATTCTCTCTGCAGACCCATTCTCACAGCGTTTATCAACCTTTTTCTTACTCAATATCAAGCCACACTTATTGTTTTTACTTCGGCTGTGAGTTTGTGTGTGCTCAGGATGAGTTTGGCTGTGTTTCGCTGTGTATCGCTAAACAAGGAAACAACACCTCCACGGAGCTCAGCGCGATTCACAACGTCCCGACCAATCAGAGCACACGTGCTTACAGTGAGGGTGGGGGCTGGAGCTATTGGAGCTACAACGAGCCGTTAAAGGCAGAGAGTGAAATTCAGTGAATACACGTAGTTTACAGAGATGCTGTATGAGAAACCAATGTGAGTTTGGAAAATTGCACAATATAAATCTATTCTAGTATACCTCAACAATGGAATTATGATCAGTGGAAATGGCCATGACATGTCTCCTTTAAGGAATCGTTGAGCTAGCTAACTAGCATACATTGTCACTATCTGCTAACGTTAGCTTTAGCCTTCGTTTTCTATTAGTTTTTTTCATAGGCTATACAGAGGTGGTATAAGTATAGGTCTTGTACTAGATTAAAAGTAGAAGTACTCAGATCTTGTAGTTTAGTCAAAGTAGAAGTACTCAGATATTGTACTTTAGTAAAAGTCGAAGTACTCGGATCTTGTACTTGAGTAAAAGTAGAAGTACTCAGATATTGTACTTGAGTAAAAGTAGAAGTACTCAGATATTGTACTTGAGTAAAAGTAGAAGTACTCGGATATTGTACTTGAGTAAAAGTAGAAGTACTCAGGTCTTGTACTTGAGTAAAAGTAGAATTACTCAGATCTTGTACTTGAGTAAAAGTAGAAGTACTCAGATCTTGTACTAGAGTAAGAGTAGAGGTACTCAGATCTTGTACTTGAGTAAAAGTAGAAGTACTCAGATCTTGTACTAGAGTAAGAGTAGAGGTACTCAGGTCTTGTACTTGAGTAAAAGTACCAGAGTGTAGGAATACTCTGTTACAGTAAAAGTCCTGCATTCAAAATGTTCCTCAAGTAAAAGTATAAAAGTATTATCATCAAAATATAGTTAAAGTAGCGACAGTAAAAGTAGTCATTGTGCAGATTGGTCCATTTCAGAATAATATATATATGATATGTTTTATAATGATTGATCATTAAAGTGTTCTCAAAGCTGGTAAAGGTGCAGCTAGTTTGAATGACTTTGTATACTGCAGGGTAGCTTGTGAATTTACTCCAGGTGGAACTAAAGTCTGATTTAACACTTGATTATATTTCACATCATTCATCCAAATCTGTAAAGTAACTAAAGGTACTAAATACATGTAGTGGAGTAAAAGTACACCATTTACCTCTGAACTGTAGAGGAGAAGAAGAACAAAGTAGCAAAACATTGAAATACTTAAAGTACAAGTATCTCAAAATTGTACCCAAGTATAGTACTTGAGTTTATGAACTTAGTTACTTTACACCACTGGCTATAAAGACAGAAAGACT